AATAGATCTGGTTTGACTGTATGTCTTTGTGGGTTGGCATTATGTGGTAGGAGTCCTGTGGGACTCTGGTGCAGTCTTTTTGATACCCTAGCTGGATGCTCTAGAAATACCCCTTGGGCAATTTATGTGGGTTCTCCAATTTTATTGGGTCTTGATCTTTGTTGGCCTGTTCATTGGTGGGTTCTCACCTCCAGCTAGCTGACTCGAGCCCCACCACATCTTGTACAGTGTTGTATCAGTGCTAACAGAATGAAGTAAAACAAAAACAGAAAACAAAACCCACACAAGGAAAAAAACAACAAAATCAATAATAAAAAAACAAAGCAATAAAAGTGGAAAGAGAAATAGCAAATTATAAAGAAAACAAGAATACAGTAAGACCAAAGAAAAGAAAAATGATTATGTAGAATAGAGGGAGGAGAAACCATGAGTAAGGAATAGACACAGGGAATTGCCACACACGAACAAAGAAAAAAATAAAATTAAACATATAAGAAAAGGAAGAGAAACGGCAAAAATAGAGTAATAAAAGGGAAGAGTAAAATACAAAATTTGAAAGAAAAAAATTGAAAAAAAGTACAAAGCTCTAGGGAAGAAAATAATGAAACAGTACAAAATGGAATTCATCTCAGCAGAGTTTAGTACTTGCCTGCTGGGCTCTCCCTGTGGACACAGCTCTAATGTTGTCAGAAACTGGCACAAGCCAATGTTAGATGCTGTCCACATCTAGTCTCAGCAGCCTTTTCAAAGTTACAAGTGATCCACAGTTTGTGGCTGATTCCTCCAGGTCTCACTTCTCTGTAAGCCTGGCTTTTTATCATGGGTGGGTCAGCTAATAACCAAAAGGACAGCAGGAATCATCTCCACCTGCCTCTGCCTGTGGTCCTGCTATTAGTCTTAGTCTAGCCACTGGCCTTTCTGTTCTTTGAGAGGGCTTTTGGTGGAATTAGGAGAATGGGCCCCTTGAACTTCTCCTGAAGTTCAGACTTCAGAGAAGGTGGTGAGTGTGTTCCCCCATCCCAGCACCACACATCTGAGTCTTTCTCAGAATGTCCCTGTACTCATGCCAGGCATGGTGGCACATGCCTGTAGTCCCAGCTATTTGGGAGGCTGAGGCAGTAGTATCACTTGATCCCAGGAGTTATGGGCTATAGTGCACTATGCACAGTGTCTGCAGCAAGTTCAGCATCAATATGGTGACTTCCTGGGAGCAGGGGGTGGGGAGGGTGATGGGCACCAGGTTGCCTAAGGATAAGTGAAACAGCCCAGGTCAGAAACAGAATGCCCCTGAACTCGGAAGAACGGAGCCTCTAGTAGAATAGTGAGTGGGGCCTCCAGAGCCCAGAGTTTGGGTCTGCTGGAGATCTAGACAGCATTCCCAGGCTCTCCCATGAGGGAGAAGTGCCAGTCTGGTTCCCAGGAAAGTGTATATAATGGGCATCCCCTAAAGCCAGTCTCTCACACCCCTGAGTCTGTCTATGTTGCTATCTCCTCAGCAGGGAATAAGATGCATGTTGAGGAAAAGTAAGAAAGAATGGAGGTAGGGGAAGATTCAGGGTGGGGCAAGTAGGATTCCAAATGATGTGGGTAGGAGGCTTTCCAAGGGTGGGGCTAGTTTTCCACAAGGTACGGTAATTTGTTTTTCCCCTGGAAGGGGTTTGCTCTTCTCAAGAAAAATGACTGCTGCAGTATCATGTCATATCCTACCTAGCACTGGGAACCCAGCATCCATTCCCCCACACCTCTCCCTGAAGCTTCCCACTCCAGACTCTCCTCACATGATTCCAGATTGTGCTGCCCTCCCTTTGTCTGATCACAGAGTGAGTGGCTGGGAATTCAAAACCTGTGTATTGGCCCCTCAGAAGAAAACAGGGGGAAATGTTGCTTTATCTGCAGTGGGCTCTGTCTTCAGTGGGCCTAAATACCGGCAGCCTTTCACCACTGGATGTTGTATGGGTGAGTGGTCCCAGCACTGGTGCTCTGTGCTTGGGACCCTGGTGGGAGGTCCAGGCTTCATTCCTCCCCCATCCCTGCCCTCCAAGCTCCCACAGCCTTGCAGGAAACTTGACTGCCACCTGTGAAAGCAGTGCCATTCCCTTTCGTGTTCCTGCCCTTTCTACTGATCTCGAGATGAGTTCTGCACATCCTTGGTTAAGTATCTCCCCTTAAGGTAGGTCTTTAGTTGTTTATTTCAGGTGGGTGTTCCCCTTCTTGTTTTTATTTTCAGTTTGGTTCTGGGAGGCAGCGTGAGATAAATTCTCCTACTCTGCTGCCACGTTGTTTTTCCTATCTGTATCCTGTTCTTTCAATATTTTGAATGTGCTATTCCATTTTCTTCTGTCCTGAAAAGTTTGTTGAAGTCTAAGGGGGGTTCCCTTGTATGTAACTTGTCTTTTCTCTTGCTTTTTTTATCCTTACCTGAGAACATTTTTTTCATTGTTTTTTAGAGACAGAAATGTCAGTGCGAGAAACATTGGTTGGCTGCCTCCTACACACGCCTGGTAGACCAAGGACCAAACCTGTAGTCAAGGTATGTGCCCTAATGGGAAATCAAACCCACAACCTTTCAGTTATGGGACAATGCTCCAACTGAGCCACACCAGCCAGGGCTTTCCCTTGCCGCTTTTACAATTCTTTCCATCTTTGACTTTCCACAATTGAATTATAGTATGTTGGTGTAGCCCTATTCACATTCAACCTGTTTAGGGTTTTTGGTTTTTTTGTGTGTGTGTTTTTGGCCTCTAGAGTCTGGATATGTTTCTCTTCCCAAGTTTGGGGATTTTTCAGCTATTATTGCTTTAAATGCACTTTATGTCTCTTTCTGTCTCCTCTCCTTCTGGAATTCCCATTGCAAATATTGGTGGTTTCTATTGTGCCCTACAAGATCCATAGTCTTTCTTACTTTCACTTTTCTTTTTGCTTCTCTGACTGGATTATTTCAAATGTCCTTACAATTCACTTATCTTTGGTTCTTGAAGCTTTCTCTTGAACTCTTCAGTTTAATTATTGTGTTTTCAGCTCTGGGGTTTGTTTGAGGAAACAAATTTCCTCAGGGTTTTTTTTTAATGGTTTCTATTTCTTTGTTTATGTGATCTTTTCCTAACTGTTTGGTTGTCTGTGGAGTTCACTGATTTTAAAAGACTATTCTGAATCCTTAGCCTGGCAGTTCACAGACCTCCATTTCTTTAGGATCAGTCATCAGAGATCATTTTCGAGTGTCATGTTTATGGAGGTGTGTGCATGAGAGTGAGCCTTGATTCCTCAGGTTGGTGTCTGTGCATTTGCGTGTTCTCCTCTCCCAGACTTTGTAGCTTTGCTCTGGCAGAGTTCTTCATGTCAGCTTAGTTGGGGTTTCTGGATGTGCCTGTTAGTAATTACTTTGGGCAGGTGGAGTCTGTTATTAGGGTCTATTTTGGGGTAAGGCAATTGTTTGAGCCCTGAATTTGGTAATGGGGTGTGTGTACCACTGGCTGACAACAGCTGAACAGGACTGCTGACTTGGTTCCCTGTCCAAGTGAGGCTGTAGAATGAGCTCCATTGTTGCCTCAATCCTCCAGTCAGGTTTACTAGATATTCCAGACTGGGTACTATATTCAGTAGTAGGTGGAGCTGTGAATTAGCTTCCCTGCTCTGACAGGGCAGGACAGTACCCAGGGTCTATATGGCTCATTGTTTGGGGACCCAAATTAGACAACAGTGTGCACTGAATATCCTGGTCAGGTGAGGCTACCAGTTTCACTCTGAAGACAGGGAAAGACACAGGCTGTGCTCTGCTCAAGTGCCACTGTAAACAGAGCTGGTCAGGTGGGCTGAATGCTTATTCTGTAATAAGTGGGGCTACAGATTAGATTCCCTGCCTGGGTTCAGCAGCAGAAGCAGCTCCAAGGCCTCTTAGGCTCTTTGTGGTCTTGACTCGAGCTGACTCATGATCCAAGTTCCTTAGCCAAACGGGGCCACTGGCTGTGCTATGGGAGCAGTTAGCTCTGCCCATCCACCTCTTGGAGCAAACTTTGCTGGGTTATGTAACTTCTAGGTGTTCTCACCAGCCCTTCCTGTCAGGACCCTGAGTCACACCCCACAGCTGGTAGGGCTATGACTCACTTCTTCCACGGAGGCACAGGCAGACCAGCCTCCAGAGCCAGGGAAACCCATCTGAGAACCCACATTAGGCAAACCTGTACCCTGCCAAGTTCTTTGATTCTACAGATGCAAAACCAACTTGATTCTACAGATGAGCAAAGCTGCAGATTCAACTACTTAGGGCTCTGCAGGTAGGAACTTGGTCTGCTCATGATTCAAGTGCTGGTTGTTGGAAGATCTTACCCCCTTCTCCATCACAATCAGACTCTGAATGATTGAGTCCCACATTCCCCTACAATCTCTGTCGGGCTGGATGTTACCCCTGGACTCCCTTTTTCCTCTGGAGGAACCATAGGCTTGGGGAGGTACATTGCAGTCAGCATGCAGCCACTCTCAGCCTCCTAATGCAGTCTCTCCAGGTCTGTGGGGAAGGAGGGGGAGCACTTCAGCCTCACCCTCACATTCTAGAATTCTCTCAGTGGTGTTCTGCCCATAAGTAGTTAGTTGTTTTTCTTGTAAGAAGTCAAGTCATGAACAACCTATTTTGTCATCTTGCTGATGTCACTTCCCTTACTATATGCTGAACACTTTTCTGAGAACTTTATAGGGATTAAGGTCTTCAATCCTCACAACCACTTTATGGTACTGCTCTTAACCCATTCTAAAAATGTAAAAATTGAGGCACAGAGAATAAATCAGGAGCCCTCGTTTGTTCCACACCCCCTCAGACTCACCAAACTGTCCCACTGCTTCCTACCTCCCAAGAGCAGGCAGCCTTCTTCTCCATAATGGCAGTGTTGCACTGCCCTTTACTGGGCCCTCTAGGGAACATGTCTGCTGGAGATGACAAATTTAGTGGAGTGCAGGAGTGGGAGACGGAAGATGCAAGAGGAAAGGAGGCACACGCTGGCAGGCGGGGGTTCCAATTTATTAGGACACTGATGATAACCATCACTTCCCCATCTCCACTGACAAAGCTGGCAGCAGGACTGACAAACCCCCCCACCCCACCAAGCTCTATCCTAGGCCGCTGGCAGCAGTCCAGCCTCCCTCTGGAAGAGGGCAGCTCCCCACCCACGGCAGATCCTCAGGGCCACTGAAGCTGAGGCAGCTACCCTGCTTCTTCTCTGAGACATGGATTCAGGCTTTGCACTTTTGAGCAGGGAAGGCACAGGCCCAGAAAGGACCTGTTCGGGTCACAGAGCTTGTAGGTGTCAGAGCTAGGCATCCTAGAGCCAGGGTTGTTTTCCTCCTCACCACACTGCCATTTTGTATAAGTTTCGTGGCAGTTGAGGGGGTGCAGTGGGGCAATTATCATTCCCAATATTTCTCTCATAAGCAAATAGCCAGTGAACCTCTTGCAAAAGAGCTTTGGGAGTCTATTCCTGTATTAGGAATGATTCTTAACCCTACCCACAAAGGGGAAGAGCATCAAAAGAGTATCCATTTTTCTCCTTGTATTTGCATAAAACCTCCAGAGGGAACTGGTATATTTGTTTCCTTCAAGGGGGAAACCAGATGGCCTGTGATGGAGTGACACCATTTAAACATTAAGCATGTGAACATACAGCCTATGCAAAATAAACAGCCTTCAAAAAACACTCCTGAAACCTCAGACTGGGAGTTTCAGAACCAGTTCCTCGGTTCTGGCCCCACCTCTGCCACACACTAACTCTGGACCAACTCATGTAACCTCCCCAGGCCATTTCCTCCTCTGTGAAATGAATGTGCTGAACCAGACATCTGCAAGGCTCCTTTCAGCTGTAAATGTCTGATTCTAGACTCCCCAGGCAGATTCTAAAATCCATGAGGGGAAGGATGGGACAATTTTGCGGGCTTGAAAAAGTCACTTTGTAAACACAGGCCACGGCAGGATGAAGTAGGGGGCAGTGCTCACTCAGCCAGAAGCCACCCCCTTCCTGCAGCCCAGGTCTTTAGAGCAAGCTGGTGAGGACTCTTCTGCAAGCTAGGAGAAAGACAGGAGATGCTGGCATACTGGTCAACAAAATGTGGCTTTCAGAGATGTATAAACCTGGGTTCAAACCCTAGGTGACCTTAAACTGTAGCCATTTAACCTCTGAGCCTAAATGACTATTTCATCTATAAAATACGAATACCAACTTCATAGGTTTGAAGGATTACATACTAAAAGTACTTGGTATACAGAAGGTATTCAACAAATGTTAGCTTGCTTCCTTTTCCCTGCCTTCATCGGAGCAGGTAGGACACCTGGGTTAGTTTGTATGCTCTTTCTTTAAGTTGGTTTTCCTGTGCAAATCCATGAAACATGGCCATCTCCAGCTGGTTCTCCTATCTGTTGCTGCAGATCCAAGTCTGCACTGTATGTAGGTTGTTCACACCGCTGGAGTTGGGAAAAAATACCCCCCTAAATTTCCCTGCTTCAGGCTTCATTTGCCTGCACGGGAAAACTAGTGCCCTTTGGGGAATGCACAGTGGGTCTCCATCTGGTAGGCAGTAGAGCAGGGAGAGGGGCCAAGGAACAGATGGAGAAGGTCAGCACTTCCTAAGGCTGGCAGCAGGGGACAGGCTCCAGGGCATGGGGATGGGTGCAAGGAATCTACTTGTAGGGAATTCAGCTACTTTCTCCAGGACCCCAGGTACTTAAAGACCTCTGAACCTTGATCTTCTTGTTCATAGAAACAAAGATGAAAACTGCTGCACCATAGGTTTGTCATAATGATTAGATTAGCTAGGAAATGTTCTATGAATATTAAATTGTCCTTCCTCTATTCTTAAGATGAAGGAAATAAAGGCCTTCAGACAGGACATACATTCACACAACCACCTTGTAGAACATGGACCTGCAGAGATTTACTTGATGGACAGAATGTGGGATTGTCAACCGAGGTGGCTGTGACAGGCACACTAGTTCCGAAGCACACAAAAACAACCACACAACAAAATGGGTTTTTTCTATGTGGTAGGCTGACGGCAAGACATATGGGGTTAGGGTAGGGGGTGGGGTAAAAAGCCAAGGATCTTCATTTCTTAATCCATGGCACAAAGAAATCAGTGGGATGGTGGCAAGTTGGTTTCTAGGCATTATAGCGGCAAGGGCAGCCCCCCCCAAGCTTTCAAGACAAAAAAATGGGGACATTAAATTTAAAAACGAGACAGACATCAGAGAACACCCTCTATAGTCCTAGGGAGCCTGCTGACGAGAAGTGGGGCTGCAGGGAGCTGAGCCGAAATGACACAAGACCCCTCACTGCCAAGGTGAGGTCATGCCCCAGCTCTTTACCTCCTTCAGAATGAGTCTCCAAGCTCTGGGAAGGGACAGCAGGGGCAGGCATAGGTAGAAAAGGTAACAAGATGGAAAAAAGAACCCGTGGATACACCCAAGGTGGAGAAAAGCAAGGTGAGGACCAGAAGCCATCCCGGACTTTTCCTATGGCTTGTTGTTGTCTTCCTGAAAGTTGTGTGCTTGAGACCTGAGAAAGCAGCTGGGAGGGCTCTGGGGAGAAAGCCCAGAGAAGGGAGGGGGCTGGGGTACTGAGGACAGCCCCTGAAACAGCACAGTGTCAACAGGAGAACAATAGGTGACAAAACTCGCTGCCTCCAGAAACCTCTGGCAGGGCTCCGAGTCCAATCCTGAGATATTTAAAGGGAGAAACAGAGGGCTCAAGAAAGAGGACATTTTAAAAAAGAAAAAAGAGGGAGGGAGGAAAAAGAAAAGAAAAGAAAAGAAAAGAAAAGAAAAGAAAAGAAAAGAAAAGAAAAGAAAAGAAAAGAAAAGAAAAGAAAAGAAAAGAAAAGAAAAGAAAAGAAAAGAAAAGAAAAGAAAAGAAAAGAAAAGAAAAGAAAAGAAAAGAAGAAAAAGGCCTGATCTCTATGAGGCTGAGGTATTGGAGACACAGAGGCTGGTCCCAGAGAACGGACATGCCAGAGGCTTCGTTCAGGTGAAGTGAGGACCATACACAGAACTGAGAAGTGCCCTGCAGGTACAAGGGATCCACTTGGCTCCGAAGGGAGTCCCCTGGCCTTAGACATTAACTCCTCTAAAACCCCATCCTGAAGGTGCCCATGTCCCGATGCGCCTCACCAGTGTTGCTGTGTCCATGCAGGAGCTCAGAAAAGTCCACATATTTTGGCCTGAGATCCATTACATGATCACTGCGGGTGACTCACTGCTTTCGGTCATATCTCCTTTCTCCCAGCCCACTTCCCCTCTGTAGTTCCTCCAAGTTTTGAGTGGGGCAAGCAGCAAAGAGGGGACAGAAGAATGCTTTATCAGAGGAAATAAGGTGCAGGGCCCTCCTCAAGCACTTTGGTCTGGGTGCAAGGTGCCCCAAACGCCACCACTCAGGGCCTCAAGAGTGATATATCTTCAGTCTGTTGTTCTGGTCCAGGCCCAGCTGCTGAAAGCCCAGAGTGGCTGAAGGCTTATGCACCGAGAAAAGATGTCTGGCCAAAGGGTGAAGGAAAACTCTGCAGTCAGCTGAGCACCAGGGAAGGGCCCTGGAAGGAAGGGCCAGAAGCCAAACAGGATCCTCTCTGGACCCCCAGGGCACAAACACAAGCCGTGCAGCCCAGCTCAGCCAACCCAGCAGCTACAGCAGGAAGGGACCAGGGTTTGCGAACTGGCTAAAAGGATACAACTTGGGGTCACTCTTGTAACGTTCTAGCCACTTCAGGTTAGCCTCAATCATGCCCTGAAAGTTGGTGCTGCCCACATCAGGAATGTGCGACTGGGGCCTCGGCAGGAGGCGGAGCTGCTCACTGGGAAGAAGGACACAGGGGGGAGCCCCGGAGGAAGGGAGAACATGATGCGGCCACCCAGAGGCCATCACGTCTGCCCCTCCCTTTTCTTAACATACCAGCTGCAGCCTTGCTGGGGGTCTTTTGAGCAATTCAAAGCTTCCTCTACTGGTAGGATGCCCCTGCTAATGTTCCCACCCCCTCCTGGGTAAATACTCCTGACAGCAAGGCTCCCACATCCACAGATTCCAGGCCAATCTCATAGGCAAAAGCTCTCCCCAGTGTCAGCTCAAACTCCTTCCCAGGATCAGTTTCAAACTGGTCAAAGCGATAAATGGGGTGAGGGTACTTATGGTCGGGGGTCTTGTGTGTGGGGGATACATTTGGCAAGGAATAAGATGAATGAGAAATAACAGGCTACAATGATTGCCCATCTGTCTCCCCCATGGGGCACCCCTCTCACTCCAGATGCTGCTCAGATGGATGGGGGAAGAAGGGAGCTGTCAGAAGCAGACAGAGGCCACACTCCAGCGCTGAAGGGGCCAGTGGGAGGGCGGTGTGCAGGGTCAGGCCAGGGGCTATTCTCTCCCGGTAGGTGCCACAGGGCAGTTCCTCATGGAGCTGGGCCAGGTACACCCAGCCAAACCTGCACAGGGACTTTCCTCTGGTTGTGCATGGAGGAGGGTCTAAGACTCAGGCAGCTTTGCGGACTGGGAGCCTGCCTGACCTGTCTCAGCTACATGACTATGAGTTCTGCTCCCCTCAGAGGTCCTACCAGCCCAGGGAGGTGCAGTAAGCAGCTGAACTGTGTGGTTCCCCCTGAGCCTACATGGAATCTTACCTGGCAGACATGTAACCCAGCCTGTTCTCCAAGGGGGCAGGGCTGCTGCTGAGGAATGGGACCCCAGCTGGAAAGCGGGAAGAAATCATTCACACAGGACAGTGGGTCAGCTGAGCCAGAGCCGGGCCCAAGCAGGCCTCCTCCCTGCTCCCCAGCACCTCTACCTCCCCAACACTGAAAAGGCAGCAACCCCAAAACAAATAGAAACAGGGAAACTTTCAGTAGTTGGAAGTGACAGAAAGGTGATAAGACAGGAATTCCTCTATTTTATTTATCAAACTTAATCTATTTTCTGTTTGGGTTGGAATGTGGAGTTAACTTTTCCATTCAAACAACTGTGTTTTTATGGCTTTTCACATTCCTCAACAGAGCTATGCTGCCAGGGGAAGCCAGCCTTCCCAGAAATAAGAAGCCATACAGCCCAGGGCGACAGGCAGGGTCCTGAAGTCACAGAGCCATGTAGTCTGTTGCTCCCTTATTGGGCACCCTGGGGCATATTACTTAACCACCCTAAGTCTCAGTTTTCTCATCTGTAAAGTAGAGGTAAATTACTACCTCAGAGGGCTATTATAAGGCCTAAACCAAAGACTTTATATAAAATGCCTGGCCTACAACACACCGCACATCACTGGCAGTTATCACAATGACAACGACAATGACAATGACCTTGTAGGTTGGGCTGAGCTCTGGAGTCACAAAGGCCCTGACTAGCCAAGCCCCAGGCACACCCCGGGGGTCCACAGAGCCTGCAGCTGCAGGGCAACCAGCAAGGTCTCCCCCCCAGGGACCCACAACCACTGGATCAGGGAACCACAGCTGAGGGGAGGGGAGGAGGAAGAGTAGATGAAAGAAGACGAGGCGTGGGGCAGGGGAGGAAGAGGAGGAAGAAGTGGGGAAGGCTCAGTCGAGAGTCGCACACTGGCCCAGAAGGAAGCTTACTTGGAAAATACTTGCGCCACTTCTCTACGAGGAAGTCATCCACCGTTTGAGTCACAGAGGAGAGCCCAGGGGCCCAGGCCCTCTGGGTGTACATGGGTGTAGCAGGGGACGAGGCTGAGACTCGGCCTGGGGAGGCGTGGGCAGGAATGAGAGCACTCCTGCGGAATGGGGGTGGGATCTGGGCCAGGGTGGAAGTGAGGCTCGGAGGTGGTGGCTGAGTGTTGAGGACACCCAGCATGCTGAGGACATCATTTAGCTGACTGCTAATCCGCTGCAGGGAGCTGTCCAAGTAGTGAATCTTGTTGAGTAAGGTGGGGCTTTCTGTCGGGCCAACTGAAAGGGAAGAGGCAGGTGGTAAAGGACTCGAGATTTCAGGGCTGCAGTGTCCCCAGGCCCAGCTGGCACTATGTCACCCTACTTGCCCACCCCTCTCTGTTCCTCCAGGCAAGAGCCCCTCACCTTGACTGAGGGACTGGGGGACAGCAGGGCTTCTGTGTCCCGCACAGGGCAGATAGGAAGCTGACCCAAAGAAACAGGCTCTCCAGGGCAGGGCCCCAGGGGGAGGAGGGGGAGAGGGCCCTCTCCGCTCCTCAGGCCAGAGTGGCAGAGGGAGACGAGCCTCCCAGAAGGGAGCACTGGAAGGGGGCGGCAAACAGGGACACCCCTCACTGTCAAGTACTCTGCACATTCAGAAGGCTCTCCTGGGCCCTGGCTGGTGTAGCGCAGTGGATTGAGCGCAGGCCTGCAAACCAGAGGATCACAATTCGATTCCCAGTCAGGGCACATGCCTGGGTTGCAAGCCAGTTCCCAGCAGGGGACTCACGAGAGGCAACCATACATTGATATTTCTCTCCCTCTCTCCCTCCCTTCCCCTCTAAAGATAAATAAATAAAATCTTAAAAAGAAAAAAAAAAAAGGAAGGCTCTCCTGGACCTTTTGGGCCCTGGGGGCTGGCAAATCCAAACTGGTTCACTCCTCCCCAAGCATTTACTAAGAACCTGCTCCAGACACTGCCTCCCAGAGGCTAACCCACACAGAGCCGAGAAAAGGGGGCTACACCAGTTCCCCAAGTTCCTCTCTCTCCATGGAAACTGTGGTCCTCCCCTCCCTCTTTCCCCTGCTACCACCACTCACTGTGAGGCAGGTGGCAGGATTCTGAACTTTCACTGCTTGTGTCTTCTGAGCTGCTGAGGTCAAAGGTCACCACTTTCTTGGTTGGGGCTCCTCTCAGTGTGTCCTCACCTGCAGCCTACAGGTAACAGTAGCAGTTATGACTGGTCCTCTCCCTGGGCATTCTGCCCATTGCCCAGGATGTGAGAAACTCAGCGCTGGCGTGTGGGCTCTCTGGGACCCAGAGTTCTGGGAGAGGCACACCATGCAGGTTGCCTTGCAGGGAGCAGGCGGGAGGCTAGGCCAACACAGCTAAACCAGCCGGGACACAGGCAGCAGGGCCACCAGGACCAGAGAGTGCCACTCTTTCCCCCAATAACCTCCCTCCAAATGTCTCTCCATCTAAGCTTCTCTCCCGCCACACCCACGACTCACGCATCTGGGGAAAAGTCTACAAGGCCCCAGGGAAGGTCAGGAAGCCTCCTAGGTGCATGTATTCCCAATAGCCTAAGAACATGTGTCCTTGGGTGCCATTGCAGAGGAAGGGCAAGGGCTAAATCTTCTCTCAAGAAACAAGCAAGAGGCTCTGGGTCTCTCGGAACCACTCAGCAGAGATAACCAAACTCAAAGCTGAAGCCACTGCCATTTTCACCAGCCCAGGGGGCCAAAGCCATGGCCAATCCTGGCCCTAGAGGCTCAGTGCCCTCAACACAGAACCAAAGAACTCAGCATATCCTGGGAACAGAAAAGGAAGCTGTGGCCACACAGGGCTGCACCTCTTCCTGAAGAGAGGACTCCAGCTGACTCAGCTTCTCCTCTTTCTTCTTGAGGAGGTTGTGGCCTTTCCGCATGGCCGACTGCATCTCATCCAGGTGTCTCTCCTCCTGCACTCAGGGAGGAAGCGGGGGAAAAGTTGGGGGACTTCCACACAGAGCTGCAGTCCCATTCATCAGGTGGGTTATCCTGAGATTACTTAACTCTCAATCTAGATTCTCACTGAAGAAAGAGAAATACTACTTTCCACAGGATCATGAGAATTAGATAAGAGCGTATTACATGCTTAGCCCTACACCCACACCTTGTAAGTTCTCACACGGTCACTGCTAACCAAACGGGCATATTATCACTGCTCCAACTGCCACCGCACTCACCGTTGTGGGCACTATCATCAGAGGAGACTCCCCTCTGGGGAGTCTGCGCTCTGTGTCGGCCTCCTGCCTGTGGCTCCACACCGCCCCCCAAGCCATGTGCGCCCACAACCTGACACCAGGTGAATCCTAAGGGACCCCAAACAGCTGTGATCCCAGCTAACAAGGGCCACAAAGTCTGGCTCTTCAGTGCAAATCAGGGCATCAAAGTTCCAGAGAGAAGTCACTTAGTCTTGTACTGAGGGTATACTCAAAACATTTTCAGTCATAAATGAAGTCTTTAGGTGAGGGAATGGACAAGCAAGGCACTGGGTGTGAATTCTGAAAAACCTTACTTACACCCTTCACCTAGGAAACAGGAATAACATCACCTGCCACACACGTCACCTAGGGCTGCATCACCTAGGGCTGCTGTGAGGACCAGGTGGTTCACGATCAGAGAAAGCACTCTGCACACTGCGTGCACTGCCTCAGGGGGTGACAGTGCTCTCACCCTTGTGGAGATCCCTAACTTTCATCACCTGTCCAATCACCCTAGAGGACCTGTAACTGCACAGGTCACCACTCTCCTGGAGACCCGAGGACGATCGACTGAGACTGAGCCCCAAGGGGAGTGTGGCCCTGGCCCCCCTGCCCCAGCCCGCCCTGCCCCAGGACGGGCGGCCGTCCTCAAAGCTCCTGACCTCCTGCAGGTCCTTCTGCACATCCTCCAGAGCCGTGGTGCCTATCGGGTCTTTGGGTGCGTCTGGAGCACTAGCCAACTCACGGTGCCAGTGCTGCTGGGCGGCTTTCAGAGCTATCCGCCGCCTCCGCATGGAGTGTTTCTGCCGCACCAGGAACTCCCTGGCACTGTGGAGAGCTACCCCCTCAGCAGAGAGGTAGTGCCGGAAGCTGTGGGAGGACAGGACAGGAAGGGGGTGGAGAGTGGGGGGTGGAGAGGGCCAACAAAGACTGAGAGTTCTTGCTCTCTCGGTCACTTGACCACTTCCCCAGCAGATACCCATCCTGAGCACAGGTTACTGGCTGGGCTTGGACAGTGTACAGGGATACTACAGCATGGAGTGTGTCACACCAAGTCCTCCCAGCTGATTCTGAGAGGCCTCCATGTGGATGGCCAGACACTGCCATCAGCCTGACCCCTAACCAGGGATCAGTGGATCAGCACGCTGTCAGCAGTCACAGTAGGCTTCTACTTGGCTTGCCAGAGGAGATTTCTCAGTCCCCCAACCCCTGCCCTGAACCAAGCCCCACTGGTGACTGCTGTCACCTCATTTCAGGTTACCCCAGCTCTGTGACACAGGCACTCACCCCTTCATGGCATCCTCAGCCCCACAAAAGACAGGTTATCAGAACTCACCTGTCCAGGGACAAGTCGGTGTCCTCCTTGCTCTGGAAAACAGAAGAGGGTACCTCTTCGGTCTGGCTCTGAGGACACATGGTAGGAAAGGCCCACTGAGTGCGGCACAAGCAGAAGCACCGCAGGCTCAAGGGGCTCTGAACCCTGCCCAGGGACAAGACACGGGGCTCTGCTGGCTGCTGAGCACTGGGAGTGATAAGAACAGGAGGCTAAGGCCCTCTACAGAACAGAGCCAGGAGCCTTCCTGCCACCCTACAACTCCTGCTGCCCCGGGCCAGCCATCCTGCCCCTTCCGAGGCACAGAGAAGCTCACGGTTCCAAGGGATCTCCTCAGGTCCTCAATGTGGAGATCTGGCTCAAAACACAGGGAGGCACTGCTCTTCTTGACCGCCAGCTCTTTCAGTGTGTCCTGCTTCCTCTGAGCTTTGGCCTCCAGGTCACTGTGATAGAAGAGAGGAGTGGGAGGTGTGGGGAGTGAGGCAGGGTCACGTGATGAAGCAGCCAGGCAGCACACTGTCAGGACCCCTGGCTGGACTTCAAGCCCCAACCTCAGGTAGAGAGCAAAACCATCCCCTCCCCTTCACTCCTGTCAAAGTCTCTGAGGCAGAACTGGGGCATGAATGGTAACACCAGGGACCCCAGCTATGCACAGCCTCCTAACAACCCCTTCTCCCTACAAAAGGCAGCAGACATGGTCTGGCTCCGCCTCTGCCTCTGAACTGGGCCAGGAGTAGACAGGGCTCATAAACAGCAGAGGTCAGAGTGCATGAGGTAGCTAAGTGCAGGGTGTCCACACTACCTGATGTGCTTCTGCAGCCTCTGAGTCTGGGTCTGCAGCAGATCCACCTGGGATTCCAGCTCCAACTTGCGGGTCCGAAGCTCACCGAGAATTCTTCGGAGCTGCTGGTTTGACTCCAACAGCTGGGTGTGCTCCTCCTTTGCCTCTTCCAGTTGATGACGGGTGGCTGTGACTTCCTAGGGCAGAAGAAAAGATAGAAGCACCTGGAGAAACAATGGGGAGAAGGCAGAGAGCAGGCAGCATTGGACCACAGGGATCCTGAAGAGCAGGGGCAAGAGCGGGGCTGACACACCGAGGTCATGAGGTCACTGGTCAGAGGTTGTGCAGGCTCCCACTCTCCCCACACAGCCCCACTAACCAAGGTTCCTGGGCTGTAGAATAAGCCCAAAGCTCTAGAGTTTCAAGTGAACAAGAGGTAGCATGCTGCAGGGAGAAGAAAGGAAGAAAAGGTGGTGCAGAGAGACAAAGGAGGGAAGTCAGACAAACCTTGCTCTCCAGCTCAACCTGCTTCTTCACATCAAGGAGCTGCTGCTTCTTCTCCTTCTGGACAATCTCCTCCTGAAGAGGGAAAGGGAAAAAACGGGGCCTCTTGGCCAACTCCAGGCCCCAGGTTAACAGGCAGAAAGGCCCATCCTCTCTTGGGGAAGCTATGACTCCACGGTAAACGGCACCCGGAGATCCTGTCCTCCACCCTCACACCCTCACCTGGATGTCTAGCTCAGCCACTCTGGCCTTGACATCTTTGGCTCTGGTTTCAAGTTCTACCTCTAAATCTCGAAGTTTCCTTTCCTGCAGAGAGCAAAGAAGGAGAAAAACATGTAAGTGTAGAAAGGGTGCAAGACATTAGCTGAGGGGCAGGAGAGGTCCTGACCCACCTTCCCATGGCATACCCCCCAGACTGCTCAGGCTGCATTGTTAGCCCCTGAGGCCTCCCAGGAAAGCACCACATCTTTTTTATGTCCAGGAGGGGCAGGCAGAAGCAAAAGCGCCAACCCCACAGCCCTAGACAGGCAGATCTCCTCTTCAATCTGGGGACATTCCCTGGCACACAAAACAAAGGAGCAGAGATGTCCCAGCTCGGGGATGGCCAGTGAGGCCCCCACTCCTGAAGCTGTCAGGGTCCATCCTGCTGCCCTGCTGCCCCAGCACTTCTCCACCCTGCATGGAGGTGGGCCCCAAGTGACTGCCCAGAGTCCCCCCCACCTGCTCCCACTGCCGATGCCGCAAGTCCTCCAGCCGCCTGTCTTGCTCCTGCCTCACGGTCTCCAGTTCTCGCTCGTGAGCCCTTCGCAGGCGCTCCAGCTCTCCAGTCAGGTGCCCCAGGAGTTCAGCCCGCTGCCTCCTCTCCTGCAATGGAGGGTGGGGCCGCCCATGAGAGACAGCGGGAGCCCTCACACCCCTAAAGCCACAGCCTCCCACTCTTGCCACCTGGAGTCAGTAAGATCAAGGACTCCATCTGTTCCCTGAGGCCAGCTGTTAGAGAAGAGCACCCAGGATAGCATGGTCCTGCCCCACAAAGGACTGCACCCCGCATGGCCACTGAAGCAGAGGCTGGTCAGATGACGAGAGGAACACCACATAGTTTCCCTTCCTCGAGGGAACAGAGGCAGCTGGTAAATTATCACTATTTTTCAGCAAGGTCAGAACTCGTTTGGGAAAGGAGTCAACTACATTTCATCATGAAGGGGCCTGCTATTTCTGCCCTGGGAAGGACTGTACAAAGTCTGGGGTACTGGTTCCAGTCCCTGGAGCAGCAGTCTTGAAATCCCGGGCACAGACACATCTGTGGGCTAAAGTCAGCCACCCTGCCATTGTTCACCCCAATGGAAGCAAGCCAAGCCAGAGCAGGGCCACTTGGATAATTGAACTCCCCCCACCCCACCAAGGCCAAGGGCCAAAGATGGGCAGATAGTATGTATACATTGGTTGGCTCTTGCCAGTCTGTTTCTTGGTATTCCAGAATTTCCATGAGCCTTGGTGGCATGTTGTTAGGGAGGTTAAAGCTGAAGGCTTTGAAATCAGACAGTCTAGGCTTGAGCCCTGCCTAGCCAGGGGAGACCTTGGGAAAGCTGCTTGCATAACCCAAATCTCAGTTTCCTCATTTTTAAAACAGAGATAATGATAGTATGCATCTCTTGAGGGTGTTGTGAGGGCTAAATCAGTCAATGTACATAAAGAGCTTAGAACAGTGCCTGGCACATAGTACGAGCCCAACGTTAGCGAGTATTACCATGAGAGGAAAGCACAGCCTGCCTGATGGGGAGGAAGCACTCCTCACACCCGATGGTTTAGTAAACAGGCAAAAAATGACTCCCCCATTGCAGGGGGCCAGGAAAGAAAGCCTCCCACAAACCACAACCACGGTGTTTCCCCTTCCTCTGCCCTCGAGCCGGCTGGGAAAGGCCTAGGTTATGTGTGACATGGGCACACGCATGCAGGGGGTTGTGGCCAAGTCACCTCAGCTTCATACTGCTCTCTGGCCTCAGACAGCACTTGTTGGTGCTCCTCTTTCATCTTGTCCATCTTCCTCTCATGTTCCCTTTCCACCTCCTGGCGCTTCTCTCTCAGGAGAGCACTGAGCTGCAGGGCAGACATATGATGTGCAGAACTGAAGCACCTAAAGGTCTCATATCATATATGCACACCTCCCCAAGCCCCCCACACATGACACACACATCACAGTACACGACACATGACATACACATGGCAACACCCCAGCACCACCTCTCCACATGCAGGCGCGTGGGGGTGGAGAAGCACCTGGCCTCAAGGAAACCAAGACATAAAAAGGGAACCAGAAGCGCTAACCCCAGCAGAGCCATCCAAAGCAAAGAGAAGGACCCTTTGGGCCAGGATGGCTCATCCAACCATCGGAGCCTCCCCAACGGGCACACAGAAAGTCAAAGAGGCAGACCAGCATTTACCTCTTGCTCATATTCTAGTACTTGGTGAACTCTGTGCTGCGCTCTCTGCTCTGTCCCTACCAGGCTCTCTTGCAGCTGGGCCTCCTCTTTCTGCTGAGCTTCCTCTATCTTCTTCTGGAGCCTGGAGACGACCTGAGCAGGCCCCAGCACAGAGGGGTTTGACTCTCCCAGAGCACTACAGTGGCTCAGGGGAACCCACCTCCCAGTGACCCAGTGCCCCTCCCCCTGGGGCTGTGGTGAGAGTGGCTGACTCTCTCATGGCAGGGATGGGACTAGCAGTGAAGGGGTCTTGAGGATGATGCACAAGGACCACCATGCCCAGGCTCTGCCTTGCAGGCCCGGCCAGCAGTACCTACCTGTTTATGCTTGGCCTTCAGGGAGGAAGAGAGCTGCTCCAGCTCAGCTCTGTGCTCCCTCTCCAGTGCTGCCACCACCTGGAGAGCAACAAAGAGTCTGTGAGGGATGCAGGACAGGGAAGGCTGGCTGGGCACTGACCCTAGAGGAAGAAAGAGCCAGGACAACCATCCTCAATGCTCCTCACATGAAAGGGCCAAGGGGAACCACAGACACATCTTTGTTCCTCCAGTATAACTCAGTCCCTAAAGTCTACAACTTGCAAATGAACAGGAACATGAAGGACAGAGTGGAGGGGCCTCAGGTCTCCACTTCCATCCCAGCCTCTGGGTTAGGCCACGGTCACTTGGGTGACACTCATGTCAATGACTGATACCCAAGGCAGGGAGGGCTGGAGGTTTTAGCACAATCTACCCGAGCACTTGCAGTACAGGGTTCTCCCCACCGTTAGTATTTCTCCTTGTCTGAGAGCTGAAGCTCCTCCCTTAACCAAAGGAAAACAGAAGCTCCCTGTGGCCTGATGGCTCCTGACTTCAGCCTCTTACCTCGAGACAGGCCCTCAGATCAGAAGGATAGGGAATAAGGACAATGGAGAAAAAAAACTCCTCTAATAGTGCTAACCTCTCATGCTAAGGCAGGAGAGAAAAGGAGAGAGATGAAAGGCCATCACAGCTGTCCCTCAGAGACAAGAACAGGGACAACACACACTTGTCTCAGGACCTCTGGTCTGGTTTAAGTTCTTTCAGTAATGCAATCTTCCAGAGCTCACAGGCCATCTCCCCTAAAACTTTTTCACTATTGACAACACCTGGCTGCTCCTGGCCCAGCCGGCCCCAGATGGAGCCTCTGGACACCTCCAGTACCTTCGACTCTGCCACAGGGTCCAGGACTAGCACCTGCCCAAGACAAGCTGGGTCCATGTGGAGCAACAGGCCCACCATCTCTGCATCCATCTGTGCAACTCCCACTCTCTGCCTGGCTCCCCAGCCCGCACGCCCAAGGCTGGCTCTCCCTTCACACTCAGTCCCTTCCTAGGCAGTCCAAGGCACATCCGAGAGGAAGGTCCCAACTCTCCTTGCTCACTTCCTTCCTCTCTCCTTCCAGCCGCTCCCTCAGCTGCTGCAGAGCTTCCTCTTTCTCAGTGATCAGGGCAGCCTGCTCTTTCTTCCCCAAAGCCTCCATCTCTTCCTTGAGCTGCTCCAGCATTTGCTTATTTCTCCGTTCCAAGTTGGCCCTTTCGCTCTTCTGTAGAGACTCCAACTCCTCTCTCAGTCTCTGCAGAGATGCCTCTTGCTCAGCCCTGGGCAAAGAGAAGGGAATAGAGATAGACCTGTGCACTCAGGGGGTGCTCCCATGGGGCTGGTCAGCTTACAGCAGGCATTCACCTGATCTGGTCCTCAAGTGCTTCTGTGCGGCACTGGACCTGGGCCTGGAGCTGGGACAGCCTCTGGCTTTCCTCCTCTCTCATCCGAGTCCCCTCTTCTTTAGCAGCTTTCTGTAGCTGCTCCTTTAAGAAACTGCGAAAGAAAGGCAAGGCAAGGCAAGTTTGTTGGAAGATACACAGGTCTTTCCTCTTCTAGTCATAATCCCTGGCTCTTGGCCTCAAAGGCCTACAGCCTGCCTATAAAGCTTCTAAAATCTTAAAGGTGAGCCTAACTTCAACCTCTGAGTCCTGCAGCCTCCCTGTAACACTTCCCAAGGTAAAGAGGCCATACACAGGTCATGAACTCCACCTGCCCTTGACTTCAGGAAGCAGATCACAGGCTGCCTGATCCCAGAACAGCATTTTGTCCAAAGGCACCCCTCTGCCTCCAAGTTCACCTCAGCATGGCAATCACTTAAGGACAGATACAGGCTGACCCCAACCTGACTCTGGCTCCATATCCTTTCACTCTCTACCCCACAGATTCTGTTCTAGTCACATCAGGTGAGCCACCACCTCCAAATCCCACCACACTCTTCTTTGCCTCTTAGCCTTTGTTCATGCTACTTCCTCTGCTAGTGTCCCCTTTCCTACCTGACAAACCCATACTCATTATTCAATACCCAGCCCATCCTCTCAGAGAACTCTGACTTCCTCCCAGTTCATCAATGTATTCCCACACCAGTCTATACTACGCATCATACTGCATCATAATCAATCATTTGTAAATCTACTTTCAAGTCTGGGAGCTTCTCCAGGGAAGGAATCTTGTCTTAAAATTTGTTATATCCCATGTACCGACCATAATAACTAACATGAAGCAGGTGATCAATAAATGTTTGTTGAATTTGAACAGTATCACTAGTCCCAAATATAAGCAAGCTTTGATTATCTATGAGGGTGTCTTTTTTTTTTTACAGACCAACGATGGTAATCATTTCACCCCAAGTGGATATACTCTGCTCACGCAAACCACACCCTCCTCACACAGCCCCACCTGGCCAGGGCTGTGTGCTGGCCATTCAGAGCACTCAAGCCTGAGAACAATATGACTGAGAAGACGATTTCTCTGAGAAGCTTCTGTAATGAATTCCGAAGCCACAAAAGATTTAGGATCACTTCCTATTTCAACTTATCAGTACCACTGCTCTCTTCCATTATGGCAGAAAATTTGAGTTAAGTAAAAGTCTTTCATTCTAGATTTCCCAGAAACCTTTTCTCGGTCCTTTGGCTAAATTTCATGCCTAGCACCAAAGAATGAATGTTAGAGCTGCAAGGGTCTTCTGAGGTGAAGGTTTTCATCTTACAACTAAAGGAACTAAGGGTCAACCTGAATAGACACTCCTCCAAAAAGGACACACGAGTGACCAACAGACAGGTAAAAAAGATGCTCAGTATCAGTATGTTAGAGAAATGCAGATGAAAACCCCAGTAAGATTGCACCTCACACCTGTCAGAATGGCTACTATAAATAAATCAACAAACAAGTGCTGGTGAAGTTGTGGAGAAAAGGGAACCCTCCTGAACTGTAGGTGGGAATGCAGACTGATGCAGCCACTGTGGAAAGTTGTATGGAGTTTCCTAAAAAAATTAAAAATGGAACTGCCTTTTGACCCAGCAATTTTACTTCTGGAAATATATCCTTAGGAACCCAAAACACTAATTCAAAAGAACCTATGCACCCCAATGTTCATAGCAGCACAATTTACAATAGCCAAGGGCTGGAAGCAGCCCATCAGTAAATGAATGGATCAAAAAATTGTGGTACATTTACACAATGGAATTATACACAGCAGAAAGACAGAAGGAGCACCTACCCTTTGCATCAGCATGGCTGGAACTGGAGAACATTATGCTAAGTGAAATAAGCCAGTCAGAGAAAGACAAACACCATATGATTTCACTCATATGAGGAATCTAGTGAACAAAATAAACTAACAACCAATAAAGAAACAGACTCGTAGACAGAGAGCAGGCTGACAGCTATCAGAAGGGAGTGGAGGTTGCAGGTTGAAAAAATGCAGATATTAAAGGAAAAAAACAACCTCATAGACACAAACAACAGTGTGGTGATTACCAGAGGGGAAGGGGGCTTTGGGGGAGGCAGAAGAAAAAAGGAGTATAAATGGTGATGGAAAGAGACTTGACAAAAATTCTGAATCATCCCAATAAATTCAATTGAAAAGAAAAAGAAACTAAGGGTCAGCCTGCCTGCCTGCCTTCCTGACTGCTCATTCAAGAAATATATGTGTTACAAAATAGTCAAGGATTTAAAGTACAGCATAGGAAATATAGTCAGTCACATTATAATAACTATGTAAGGTGCCCAGTGGGTGCTAGAAATATCAGGAGAAACACTTTGTAAAATATATGGTTGTCTAACCACTATGCTATACACTTGAAACTAATACAAAGTAATATTGAATGTAAACTGTAACTTAACATTTTTTATATTAAAAATAAAAAGAAAGAAATGTTTGCTATAAGGTCAGTGTGGCTTCCAGAAATTTCTACCAAGTGGAAGTTTCCCAGCACAGAGAGGCCCTGACTCTCAGGAAGGCTCATGTGTAAACAGAAACAGGGTTCTCATGAAGAACTCTTTTGAAGAGACTCAGGTATGGCCCCTGCCCACAGAGATGCCACTTAATCAAAACTGCTGAAACTATACTGATTTCACATGAAAACAAAAACAAGCACTACCATTTATTGAGGGACTCCGGTGCTACAAGCCCTGAGTCAGATACTTGTGGCATGCTAGTCTTCACCACAGCCTAAGAGGGCCCTGGACACACCTTTGGAATTGGGGGTCTGGGGACAATGGACAGCACAGTCAGCTAAGCTTTGGGAGAACCAGGAAGAGAGGGGGCACCTGGTAGGCTGGCAGGGGAACACTACCAGGATTTTCTCCTAGGCACTACCTCTCAAGCTAAGCTAAGCCACACCCTGTTTGGCTCAATTTTCAGTTGGCTGGAACAGGGTGCTATGGGGAGATCTGTTCTGTGGGATGCTCCCTGGCAGAGGGTCTGGGTTGTTGTGGGGAGGCAATTTAAGGATGGACCCTGCCTCAGCAGACCCTGTGTTGGGCTAATGAGAGAGATTGTTCCTAGCCCTTTAGACAGTCGAACATTGGTTTTGTTAGCTTCTCTAAAGAAAGCATAAATGTTTATATACTCCTTGTTATCTATAATATAAAAAATAAGTCTCTACTACTTTTGGATGCTCTGTCCAAGAGGTAAGATTTAGATTTCAGCTAAAGTGCCAAGTAAGTGAATTATATTAACACCTTTCCATAGCTCTTTTCCCATCCTGGGACTGTGAAAGAGGTTGCTTATTACCTTCTCAATATCCATTCTACCATTTTCCTCACTAACAGAATCGTGATTTTTATTCTATCAGGTAAAGAGGCCCGGCTAAAGGACTACATTGCCCAGTCTCCTTTGCAACCAGGAATAACCGGTGAGATTTAGGTGGAAATCATTGGGTCAAGTTTCTAGGAAAACCCCTTTAATGGGACTGAAGGAGCTAGAAGGAACCCCCTTTTCTACTCTACCTCTGTTCTTCCTGCCTGGAGCATAGGCACAATGGTTAGAGATCCAGCAGCTATACCAGACTGTGAAGAGACCCTGTCTGAGAGTAAAATCCAACACTAATGAGGTGGAGATTAAGAAGACAGGGACCTGGTGACTCTCTGAGCCACTATGCCAACCCAAGACTGCCTGTTCTTATAGAAATAAACCTCTTCTTGTTTATACATACACACATACAATCACATACACACAGGTCCAGGACAGGCTGAAGTGTTTTATTTGCCTAGGGCCTTCTAGCCAGTGACTGAAATCGAGCAGAAACCCAAAGAGAAACTTCTGCATCCTGGGCAAGCGCACCTCACACTGCATCGCGTGGCTCCACCAGGCTCACTGGGTCCTGGCAGGGCCCTAACTCCCAAGAAAGGTGACACATAGTAGTTAAGAAAACAGGCTTCAGAGACAAGCCTCCTGCGTTAAGCCAGCTTTGCTGCTTCTCAGCTTCCACACCTTGGGCAAGGTGACTTAACCTTTCAGTGACTCAATTTCTTCATGCGTATTACATAGATTCTATGAAATGGGGTTCATAACAACACCTCATAAAAGCTGTTCAAAAGACTAAGCAAATTAATAGATACAAAACACATGGATGCCCTGGCTGGTGTGGCTCAATGAATTAAGTGTGGGCCACGAACCAAAAGGTTGCTGGTTCAATTCCTGGTCAGGGCACATGACTGGGTCACAGGCCACATCCCCAGTTAGGCGCATGTAAGAGGCAACCAGTTGATGTTTCTCTCACGCATCAATGTTTTGCTCCCTCTCTTTCTCCCTCCCTCCCTTCTCTCTAAAAAATAAATAAGTAAACATGAAAAAAAAAGGTACATGGAACAGTGTGATCTCTCAAAAAGTGTTAGTTGTTCCTATTATAATCATACCACCCAACTTCCCACAGGCCACCGTGGGCATCCCACTGGTCTCCAGGGCAGGAGGAGTGTGCCCCTTGCTCCACATGTCACTGCCAGGCTCCAGGCAGCTTATGTAAGGGGGTGGCAGGACCTAAGAGACTTCTCTTTCTGTTGGTGAAGCTGGAAGATCTCCTCTTCCTCCTCCTGCCACAGCTTTTCCCGCAGCTGCTGCATCTTCTCTTGCTTCAATTCCAGTAGTTGCCTCTGATCTTGCTCAAGTTCTTGGGCCACTGCCTCTTCCATGGCTTTCACAGTGGCTTCTGAGAGCTGCTCTAGGGGAACCACAAGCTCTGGAGATTGCCTATCAAAGGTGGGGTGGGAACAGCATTTCACAAGTTTTAATATCCACCCACCTTTTGGCATCAAGGTTTATAGAGCTACAGTTCATCACATACTCTAATGGAGGGCCCATGATCAAGAATCACATGTGCAAATTAGGTCACCCAAGGGCAGACAGTAAGGCTTCCACTCTCAGAGATACAGGCAGCATCTGTTCTTCAAGACAAGTCCCACCGTGGCTGTTCAAGGCCCCAAGAGCCTCAGGAGAAGGGCAGCCCTTCTCCTGATTGTGACCCAAGGTAAAGATGTAGCTCAAGAGCTGGCAGTAGAAGGAAGAAGTTAAAGCTCCATCCCTAACAGACTCTTCCCCAGAATGGCTCAAGGCCCTGTTCTGTCTCTCCACCAGGGCTCTGCCTGCTGCCTGAGGCTCCTGTGAGCAATCTGGGAAGTCTCCAGAGGCTGCTCTTTGCCTTCCAAACTGAACAGAGGCAAATGCATATGAGCCTGCGGTAGAAGCGGGAGCATTTCTCCTAGCCCTGAGACCTACAGAGTGGTCCATGAAGGTGCAGGAAAGGGAAAACCCCCACCCCACACTGCCAAGGGAGAGAGGCAGGATTCTATTCCCTAAGCCAAAGACAGTAGTAGTAGGAGCGCAACAGGAATGCTATGCCCCATATCTCCCCAGTGATGCAACACTTTCATCTACTTAAGTTCGTATTTAGAAATGGGTAAAAGAAATTCAGGGCTAACCTGGATGCACAAGGTGGGTGGTGAGATAAGGATTAATGTAACAAGGTTGTTTGTTGCTTGTGCACTGGTTCTTGAAAGAAATACCCAAAGAAAAACCCCAGGGACATTTAGAACAATGAAAGCATAAGCAGGATAAAGTATGTCACCTCCCTAAGTGGCTTTCCTAAAAGCCAGTATGTGTTTGCATTCCCAGGTCCTAGACCTTACATTACAAATTGATCTAGCCACACAACCACCAGCCTTCTCCCACAGTGCTCAGGCTGCAGCAGGCTATGCCTGCTGACCCAGTCAACCACAGCAGCATGTGGCCATAGTCCAAACAAAGGAGCACTAGATCGAAAGTGGCACAGGGAGCCTGTCCCCATTTGAGGTCACAGAACCCCCATCTCCCTCCAGCTCTAGCAGTGCAGCAGATGGAAGCCAGCATGCAGAGTCAGATTGGAACAGCTGAAGAAAACAAGGCCTTTGGAATAATTCCAGTTCAGCCCCTTGAGACCACAGAGAGAAGGAAGCCATAAAAGGCCAATGACATCTCTGAAATACCATGAAAATCTTTCCTTCCGCTATTCCTAAAATTATAACTCAGACCAGAAACAGTCTTGCGCTATGCCTTCAATTCTCTACTGCTTCCAGCTCCATCTCCCCCTTCTGTCCAATTCCCGGCTCCCTCTTGGTCTCCTGACACAGCCCAATGGATGCAGATGTAAGAAATGCGGATGCCACCTCCTCTGAGAATCCTGCCCTTGGAAAGAGCCTCCCCCCACAGCTCTCTGCCTCATCAACCCTCCAAGTCATTTCCAACTTGGCTGAAAACATCTTTTTTCCCTGAGATGGTTCCTTTTAATGTGTCTCTCCCCTGTGGGCTGTTTAGCTCTGTGGAGCCCTGGGGACGAATGCTGCAGAAAGATATGGCATCAGACAGCCTGGCAGCTTGTGCCCAGGCTACATGCACCGGTAAGCTGGCACACACCAGGCACATGGGCACACTGGCCCATTTTTTTGTGTGCTTCTTCTCCATGTCCTGTTTTAAAGATCTAATATCCTAAGCTCTCAGCTTATACTGCCCATGGGCAGTCAACAGTGAGCCTACAAGAAAAAGATCTGCGAGATGATTGGAAGTTGAAGACTCCAAAGGAAGAAGCAGGTCTGATTTCTAGGCCTCTCCTCGATATCAGCAACAATGATAACCAGTTTCTACCAGTTGGTGGTCAAGAGGAGACTCTGTAGGAACATAATCATTTCAGGCTAGCCACCAAGTAGCTCTGAGACATATGAAGAAAAGCAAGAAGGGAAGATGATCAGGGAGGAAGAAGAGGGAAGAAGATCCAGCACCCAGACATTCTGGAATGGCTGTACACCACTGAAACTGGGATCGCAATCCAAGACATCTTACACCCTCTCACGTTCAACCCAGTGGTTCTAATTCATCTACCATCCCCTACAAACACCTTGTGAAAGATGTGGGCATCATAATGGGGAGAATATCCCCGTTTCCCAGACCCAGGCCTCCTGGCCATAAAGCATGCACAGTGGCGCTGCTTGCTAGTCCTGCCCTTGCTCCCTGGCCTGCCCTGTGCTCCTCACTCCTTCTGATTCAGCTTGACAACACCTATGAAAGGTAGCAAACTCACGTTTTCTTATTTCCCATATTTTATGATGTTCTGACATTCTTTAAAAGCTTTCTGGTCAAAGAGAGACAGCCTCTCCCAGGGCTCACCAATTCTTACAGATGTAGCAAAGGCAGCATGGATGTCACATGCAAACCATCCTAAGTCTGTAACCCAACCACATCCTTACCTAACTCACACCAAGCCCGTATTTCCCAACTCTCAATCACCCAGGGCCCATACCAGGCAACTAGAGACCACCCCCATAATCCAAAACCCACAAAACCATTCAAACCATCCAATCCCACACTAACGGTGCTTACCCTGCCTCATCCACTCCTTTCCACGAAAACCCTAATAAAGGTTCTGGACCACGTTCTCCCTTCTCGCCTCTTCTGTCTCCTGAGCAGCGTTGGTCCTTCCCCACGTGACCCTGTGTGGCATGGCATGCTGTCTTCTCTCTGGAAATGTTAGCAATAAATTGTTCTTTCAGTGGCATTCACTTCTCCATAAATTAATATCGCACAGATACAAATGAGACACATAGCTACTCCCCACAAAATCCAGAATATCAACCCACTCCAAGTGTAGCTGTAAAAATTAATGACAAGGAAGTTATGGGGCCTGAAAACACTCAGGAAAGGAATAGCAGACATTTCCTCTGGGTACTGTGTAAACTGGTCCAGGAAAATATCCCTAAAGATGCCAGCAGGGGAGAAACACAAAGCTGCCTTGGCTTCTCTCACTGCCCAGCTTCACTTCCAGAGGCCTTGAGTGGACCCCCTCTGGTCCTTTCTCTGAGCCCCTCGCCTCCTTCCACATAAAAGCACCCTGACTGCCCTGGCTGGTGTAGCTCAGTGGATTGAGCACGGGCCTGCGAACCAGACAATCGAGGTTCGATTCCCAGTCAGGGCACATGCCTGGGTTGCAGACCAGTTCCCTGCAGGCCAGCTCCCAGCAGGGGACGCACAAAAGGCAACCATACATTGATGTTTCTCTCCCTCTCTCCTTCCCTTCCCCTCTAAAAAAAGGTAAATAAATAAAATTAAAAAAAAAAAAAGCACCCTGACTGTCCACAGTCACCAAGACTTCAGGGTCAGAGCTATCACCATCTGAAAAACAGGGCTACTCCTCACCAACCCTCCTGCAGCCCATGGTGATAACATGTGATTGTGAGTTCATGCGCCTTGTTAGCCCTTGTTAGCCAGACAGTTTCTGTAGCAATCAGTGGATGAACGTGTCTGTGCTCAACAGTCAGCCCGAATCCTGAGGACTCATAATTCTTTTGTACTACTTGGTTCACAGACAGGAAAATTGGTATAGCCCTAGCACCTGTCTCTCTCCTTGTAGAGAAAAGGCACAGTGGCTGCACACTAAATGTCAGAAGTCTATAGCTCCACTGACTAGAGCCTAAGTCCTAATTCTGCAACTGACTAGCAATGTGACCTTGGGCAGATCCCTTCACGTATCTGAGCCTCAGTTTCGTCACCTGTAAGCGTGGTGAGACAGGGGAAGGTGAAAATAGGCAAAGCTAATGATTGCTAAGTGTTGGAAGTGCTTCATGCAACCACATAGGTGAACTGCAAACCCAGGCACAAACGATATATACTGCATACCACCTAATTCCATGTATATAAAGCTGGGAAGCTGGAAAAAAGAATCTACAGGACAAAAACCAGAACAGTGGTTCTGGTTTTGGGTTCTTGGTTTCAGTGGTTCTTTCCTCTTAACCCACCCAACTGAGGTGGGTGGGTTAAGAGGAAAGGGGCATGAGGAAGCTCTCGGGGGACAGAAACATTCACTGTCTGACCTACATGGTGATTACATGGCGTGTACATGTGTAAGCATTCACTGACTTGTACAAGCAAGACTTGGGTACTTTCATGTATAAAAATATTTCGATAAAACTTTTTTGGGTTTTTCTTTGAGTGGGCATTTTTCCAATTACAACTGACATATAGCTTTTTCTCAAGAAAGAGAAAAATAGTGCTTGGTAGAGGGGAGAACATGATTTACCAGTTTCTGCTAATGATTCAGGAGGTACTCCCTCACTTCCACCCTTATACCCCAGGTCCTGACAAGGGGAGCCTTGGGACTAGTGATGGCTACTCACAGAACCAAGGGTACACCCACTGCCCCCCAACTCTGCCCACTCAGCTGGGACCAAGGTATCCTGTCCCTAGCATCCAAGAGTGGATGGAAACTAAAGCCATCCATATGTGACAGAGGACGGGGACAGACACATTAAAACTGGCCCTTACACCTCTGGAGAGACTGGCGGGGTAAGGCTGACCACCAGACCACCACCTTCTCCTTGGGCTCCTTGGCCTTGGAGCACTGCTCCTTGCCCCTCCTGTAGGCAGCAAGTGGGCCTGGGATCTCCTCCCCTGATAGCAGTAAAGAAGTAAATGTGTTAAAGCCAGTAAAGTGCAAGAGGCGCCCGTTGCATCCCATTCGGGGTCAAAGAGCTGTGATGGAAACAAGAGAGGGAGGCCCAACGGTTTCCCTCCCTCGGGTCTTATATCTCACTCCGCTCTCCCTGCCTCTTCCTGAGCTGTTCAGAATGAAGAACAGACACTCACGGCCCATGTGTGAGGCAGAATGATTATGGGACCCAAGGAGAAGTTCTGCACATAGCAGGTGTTCACATAGATGCACACACACATGTTCACTATGTGATGCTGCTTGCACACAGCAGCATCACATAGATGCTGATGATTGAACATTGATGTTGCTCAACTTCTCCCAGTGATTCATTCCAACTGGATGAGCTGTGAAACCAGCTTCTTTCTCTTGCCAGAACAGAACTAGCAAATATGCACCAGGATCTGAACCAGGCAAGGGTACAAAGGTCCTCTCCACTGGCCACAGGAAAGCCTGGGGCTAGGCAGCTCCCTCTAGCACACAACAGGGCTCTACGTGGCTTTGCCGAACAACCAGAGGCTGGATGACTACTGGGTGAGAAGGAGCTGGTGGACAGACACTAGGAAAAATGGCCCCAGTGCAGGACTAGCACAGCCCAGTAACAGGAGTCTCTGTTCCAGCCCCTGGAAGGGAGGTAGTTGGGTGAGAAAACATTCTTACCACCTCATTCAAGATATCCTATGCTGCCCTAATCAGACTACATACCCCAATATAGCTGTGGACTGAAAACTGAGAAGTGGCCAATTTCCTTACTCTCCAGCTCATGTGGGACACTCAGCAGAAAACTGAGACCTGTTACTACTGCCTCAGCTGCAAATCTGCCCCCGCTCTCCCAAATTCTCCAGGCCTCCCCACCCCCTACCATCCCTTTCCACCCCCAGAACACATGACTACACAGAGAAGAGGGCCACTGCCATTCACTTACCTTTGCAGGGAATCAGGCAGAATGGAGCTGCCTGCAGGAACCTCCTCAGGCTCCTCTGCCCCACTCCACTCAGGCTGCTCATCAGGGGCCTGCAGAGGCCCCTTTTCAGTGGCCTGGCTGTGAAGGGGACTCTTGAGTCGCTCCCCATGCAGAAGTAAAGGAGACAACCTGGTCAGACCAGCCAGAGCAGCAGAGTCAGGCCCCCTCCATTTAGAGAGCAGGAAGAAAACTGGGGAGTGCAGTATATGAACCTAGGTCCATTCCTCCTTCCAGGCTAGGCCCCAGTCCTGGAGGGGCAGGGAGGGCAAAGCAGCTAGAAGAGCAGGAAGGAGAGACTCCCTACTGAGTACTTCCTTTACCTGGACCAGACCCAGCCTTCCCAGGCCCCAGTGCTGTATATGATTGTTCCAGGAGTGAGAGCAGGACACATTCCCAGAGTTCACCATCACTGGGGGCCAAGAGGGATGGAAGAACTAAGCAGAAGTTAGGGAGGAAAAGGAAAGTCTGATTCGAGTGGTCAGACTATAGAAAATGCATGAAGATGTAGCCTTAAGGAAGAATTCTGATAGCCTTTCAAGGTCCAAAAAGTAAAATGACTACCTACCTCTCCTTCCAGGCTGGCAGCCTTTCTCTTATAGGGGCTCAGGCCTGAGAAGCTGGAAGCCCCCCTCCCAAACACACACACACATACACAGAGTTGGTCACAGCCACTTCTGATACAGCAGGGCCCTGGTCAGAGCCCTGAGTTGCAGAACCAACCCTGGGGCATGACTCCTCCAGATCTCTCGCAGGCTGCTCCAGTGCTGGCCCATGACCAGACACACAGTTTAATCCAAGCAGTGACAAGGACAGAGCCCTGGCCCACGGTAGTGCTATGTGCACAAAGTCCTACAAAAGGCACCCAGTAGTTCTCCCATTCCTGTCTTGGTGCAGAATCAGGAGGTTTGAGTGTATGCACATGCACGCACTCACACAGACTTTGTAAGAAGCACTCAGGTCTGCCTTCAGGCAAGAGCACACTGAGTCATGCTGACCAAAGCCAGGAATTCTGCCCAAGTGCAGGCATCCCCGGGCCCCTGAGGGTGGCCTCCCACACACTGTACCTCTCTGAGCCCTTGGACTGCTTGCTCTGTAGCTCATCTTCACTGGATTGGCTGTTATCCTTGTCTTCTCTACACAAACTCTGGGCCTATAGGCAGCAGAAGTGGAAAGTGTATATTGGAGGAGTCTGTATTTGGGCTGCTTAGTCCTTCACCTGACTCCCATGCCTAGGAGGAAGCACTCGGAGATGGCTCTTCAGTGGATGAGGGCTGCTCAGGATACAAAAGCAGTGGCCTGTCAACCATACAAAAAGTTTCCTGGGGCTCTGGCTAAGCCTCCGGGCTCACAGCTGCTCCCAGGGCCGGCCTTGCTGGCTTGAGAAGGGTAGGTCAGACACCACAGCCACTGAATGCTGAAGCAGAAGACAGAGGCTGAAGGAAAACACACAAGAGAAAGCAAACTCTGCCCCCTGCAGTTGGAAGCCTTCACTGCCGGTTACAAAGAGAAAGATATCCACAGGCACCCCACAACTGGAGAGGCCCCAGACCTCTGTGCAAATGATGTACAAAGATGCTAAAGTGAATTGGGCTGCACTGGGAGCAGCAGACAAGTACACTGAAGAGGAAGGATCCTGGGGAAACAGAGAACTGGGGAATAAGATAGTGCTATGTTCCAAACGAAAGGGGCGCCATTGGAGTACCTGAGAAAGACAGGGTGCCCCTCTGCTGCATTCTGAGCTCACCTAGCCTACCGGCTCCCATCAGCGGACAATGATGCCCCCTCCCTGTCAAAGATTACACCACCCATCCAAAAACAAAACAAATAACAAATCTCATTTTAAAGCTTGGGCATCTGGGCAAATTTGGTGAAAAAGAAGACTATTCTTGATAAGCTCAAATATTTTCTTCAGGGCTAGGACCATGGGAGTGTAGTGGTGCAGCTGGCCTGGCCTCCACCCTCTGTTCCCGCGCTGGTGGGGCTTCGATCAGACTGACACTGGGCCCAAAGACAAGGCCACAAACCTTAGCTCCCTCCTCACACTTTCCCCCTCCCCATGCCAAAGGCAAACAAATGAACAAACAAACAAGCAGTGTTGCCAGTGCCGGTCCCCATCCCAGGACCTGCATTCCTTCTGTCACATTGCCAGAAGCCCCGTCTGTTTCAGGATGCAAGAGTTAACAGGAGCGGTGGGACAGAAGACAACTCACTCCATCTGCCCCAGTGGGGTCCCCTAGCCGTGGGCCCACACTCTCCCACACCTCTCCACTGGCAGCCTGAACCCAGCAGCTGTGGCCAACTCTGCCATCTGGATGGGCGAGGAAGGGCAGGGCCTGAACTAAAAAGCCAGCTCCCCCAAATTATATTAAAAATAGAAATGGTGCTTTGAGTAGCTCCTGGTGCCCACAGCAGAAGGGCTCCCTGCCAGCACTGCCAGCCCTAATCGCATCAGTCTGGGCAGAGCCCACAGACAATAGCTGGGGCATGCAGTTCTCCTCAACGCCCCAGCTCTTTGCTTCCAGTGTTCAACTCACAATTTGTCTTCCCTACAAATCACACCAAGCTCAGTAAATACCTCCCTGTCTCATTTCTCAAGGAAAAAACCACACAGACCAATCTGTTTAACAAACTAAAAAGGAAGGTAATCATAATAAAAATTTGGAGATTGAGCACTGCGTCAGAAAGAACTAGCTGCAGACAATGTCTGTTTCCTTCTTGTTTCATCTTCTATGTGTCTGCCAGAAACCCCTACTGGAAAACAGGGGATGCCTCGAGAAAGCACCTAGATAGAGAGCCCTCGAGTAGATTTTTACTGGATCCCCAGAAAAGAAATCAAAGGAACCAGACAGAAATCATCTTCAGAAAGGGGAGACAGCAAGCACATCCTCAGCCCCTGGCCTAACGAATCTCATTTTAAAGCGTGGGCATCCGGGCAAATTTGGTGAAAAAGAAGACTGCTAAGGGCACCATTTTCCCATCCTTACCTCAGCTTCATGCTTTTGTTTTATATATGATCCCGTCCCCAGTTAAAGAAACCACAGTGCTGTCATAAGGCAACCAACTGAAAGAGTAAGGTAGATGGAACTCACTCAGAAATGAAGGTCTGTTCTCAAATCTAAAGACCACATTGCCAAGAAGTTTCTGTAGCACAGTCCCAATTTTTGTGGGAAGAAAAAAGACAAACAAATAGAAAATATACACTTACATGTACACAGAATAATTTCTGGAAAGGCACATGCAAAATGTTAATGCAAACTGTTACTAGCCCCCATCTGTGGGAGTAAAGCTGTAGGAAACTTTGACCATCTGTATTATTTGAAATAATTTTATGGTCACTTTTGTAGTTTATTATAAAATTTATCATGTTTATAACTGATTACAATCATTATCTTGACTGGTGATGTTTTGAAAGGTGTACACACATGGTAAAATTTATCAAATGGTACACTTTAAGTGTGATCTATTACATGTTGATTATACATCTCAGTTAAGCTATATAAAATTTAAGTGAATGAAAAGTCATTGCACTCAGTTCTAAGCCTCTGCACCGGCCTTGGCCTGGGAGAGATCCAGAGAATATAGACCACGGACAGGAGCCCGCGGTAAAGACAAGCAGATTGCGCCAATGGTCCCAACTGTCCCACAAAGAGGCTGCTGCTTGGTCCTCCAGTTCCACCTCCTTGCTCAGCCCTGCCAGGCCCCAAACGCAGGAGACAGCTACAGACAGAGCCCAACAAAGGGCTCTACATGCTCAGCCAACCTGAGAATCCAGAAGTGCTCCACACCCCAATATGCTGGTCATGAGACACAGCTTAGGCTTCCTCTGCCAGAGCTGACTGCTACAGGAGGTGCCTCATGAGAACCTATCCAAGCCAGGTCCTGTAATACGTTATACAATACCAAGTGCCATGACTCAAAAAGAGGCTGCTAGCCTCATGAGGTTTTAGGAAGAGTCTAGAAATCTGTCTGTTTGAAAGTACCCAAGTGTTCTGATACTGGCCAGGTTTTGGAGCCAGAGCAATGGAAACACACCCTGCACGGTCAGCCAACTCAGTAACTTCCCCACTTACCTACTGCCATAGGTGCTCCACAATTCACCTGCTCTACACTCTTCCTGACTAATCCCACCTGCCCTTGTTTGTGCCTTTGTATCCCTCTAGTACCGCAAATGAGGATGACCAATGTGCAGTAGGGACCTGGTGGCTGGGCAGTGGAAGACCCCAGGAATACTCGTTAGCCAGAGCTGGGAGGATCACGTCAGGCTCAAATGCACCTGGCCACATAGCTCTATCCTGTCTCCAGCACTCACTTCATGAATGGCTCCCAGACTTGATTCACATTAAACATTTTGTTTGTGCCACCCAAACCAAATGCTCCCTTAAACTTGCAGAGACTGTGTGCCAGAATCTCTCTTCTCTCACAGAGAAAAAGGTTTCACACATTCAAAGAGGAGAAAAAAATGATCTTAACTTTGGAAATGAAACCATAGCACCCTTCCTGACCAGAGCCTTGGGACTGGTCCTCACCATGGCTCAATGATCCCATAAAGGCACACACACACACCCCTAGTCTCTAACCTGCCAGATTCATTCAATGTTCCTGCAAAAGCCCACAGGCAATGATCTCACTCACAGGCAATTCGCACAGCAGTATTAGTAATAACAGCTAAGTTTATTTAATATTTATATGCTGAAGTTCTACATTCCTTACTCTACTTTTTTCTCATAACATGACTCCTTATCTGAGTCATCCTTGTACCCTACCCTGGGTCAGACATCACCCAGGCCCACACAGAGCTTCTATCTGGCAGGAAGACAAAGAACCATAAAACCAAAGAATCGCTACAAGGAGCAAAGGGCAGAGGTGATGACAGAGGTGATGGCAGAGGTGATGGCAGAGGTGATGGCAGAGGTGGAGCTCCCTGGACAAAACGGGAAGGAGCACAGCAGGCAGAGTGGAGGAGGTGAGGTGCCCAGGGAATGGAGAGTGCTGGGCATAGCCAGTGACCAGTGGGCAACCTGAGAATAAGGCTACAAAGGTTGAACGGCCCATGCTGAAATCCACAGTCTACACAGTGCTTTACACATGAGCAAACGTTCATCCCTCATTTGCTAAATGAGTGGATAAGCGGACAAATATGATGGAGGAGAGGGGAATGCCTTAATTCACAGCAGCAACAGAGTAGGAACGGTAAGAAGTTCCATCATAGGCAAAGTCAGGGCCATGCCTTAACAAATGGGAAGGGAGGAAACTTCTGTAAACGTATCCTGGGGCAGGCAGGACTCAGTTCTGGGTTATCCTAAAAAGTGAGACCCCAGCGCAGGATGGAAACAGGGGAGGGAAGTGGGGAGGGTTGGAGTGGGGGGGGGCAGAAAACTGTACTTGAACAACAATAAAATAAATAAATAACAATAAATAATAAATAAATAAAATAAAAAGTGAAACCCCAGCCCACCACCCAGAGACTCACCTCCCAGTGGGCTCCATCCAGCACTGGGGAAAGCACATCAACATCCAGCAGGTGCTCTGAGGTTCGGCTACGAGAACCAAAGTCCTAGAGACAGTGGAGATGAGAAGATCAACTCTCCTTCATCACAGCATCTACCAGAGCCTCTACTCTAACACCAACCTTCCAAAAAGGTCCATCCTATATGCCAGGCATTGCACTAAATATTTCAATATCTAATTATTTTATTTTTTTTAAGATTTTATATATTTACTTTTAGAGAGAGGGGAAGGGAGGGAGAAAGAGAGGGAGAAACATTAATTAGCTGCCTCTTGCACTCCCCCAACCAGGGATCTGGCCTGCAACCCAGGCATGAGCCCTGACCAGGAATTAAACCAGCAACCCTTCAGTTCATAGGCCAGCGCTCAATCCATTAAGCCACACCAGCCAGGGCTAATTACTTCAATCTTCAAAATAATGCCATGACCAGGTGGAAAGACATGTGATAAAGCAAGTATGTTAAAATGTTCACTGTAGACTCTAGGCAGTAAGTATGTGGGTAGTCACTGTAAAATTCTTATAATTTTTATGTTTGAATTTTTTCATTATAAAGTTATGAAAAAAATAACTGTTAGACTAATACTCTTATCCTCACCTCCCAACTGACAAACCGGGTCTGAGAGCGTATGTCATTTGCCCAAGGTCACACACCTGACAGGTAATGGGGCTGCAAGCAGATGTGTCCAGGACAGACCCGAAGCCCAAGCTCTTTGCATGGCACATGCTGCAAAGCATGTCAGTTTCCAGCTGTCCCCCCATCAGGGCAGCAGGAGGGAGGCCAAAGCGCCCATAAAACCCGTGGGCAGCTGAGAACACAGTTGGTAGGCTCCTCCCAACCTGTTCTTTCTCCTTCCCATACAGGTGCCCCTTTGAACAAGGGGAATTAGTCAGCAGCACTTTCTTCATGGGTGTCTCTTTAGGACAGGCAGCATGTGCCCACACAGGTGCCAGCTTTCTGCTGCCACCCCCACCCCCAAGACCCTGCTGGGCAAAGGGAAGAACTGCTACTTGGCAACATGCTACTAGGACAGTTGTCACAGCCCTGAAAAATGGTGGGGTGCCCAGCCAAGTTCTGGTCCTGCTGCCCACTGCTTTCTCCACCCCATCACAGAAAAGAAAAAAAAACAAATGGGCAACGAAAATTTCTCTGGTGACTCCTTTTTCTAAAATGAGGGTTGGAGGGGAACTTCCGCCAAGAAGGAGGCATAGGTGGAAGCACTGCGCCTTCTCGCACAGCTAAGTTTAAAAACAACAAAGTTTTGGCAGCAGAGGCACAGCCAAACCACAGAAAATTGAACTACCAGAGGTCTGACAACAACAAACCCTTTGGCCAAGCCGGTGGGAGGGGCAGGGCCAGCAGCAGAGCGGGGGTCAGGCAGGAAAGATCCACCGGACAGACCCGGGCACATGACCCGGGTGCACCAGCAGCCGTGGGCGGATCCCAGGTGTGGAGAAGTGGGCAGATTCACTGAGGGCGCAAGGTAGTGGACCCACTGAGTGCTGACCGGTCACATATTCGTGCGCAAATAAACTGGTGAAGGAGCTAGCAGTGAGACTGACCGCGCAGGCCCCAGCGGCAGGAAGCGGCAGAGGGAACCGCCATTGTCCCTCTCTGACCCCGCCCCCACATATAGTGTCACAAACCAGCGACCTGGGTGGCCCCGCCCTGGTGAACACCTAAGGCTCCACTCCTCATACCTAACAGGCACAAACAGATCAAAACATGGCTCAAGAACAACTCAGAGCCCCAGAGCCAATAAATCTAATCAATGAAGAAATAGCCAAACTTTCAGATTCACAGTTCAAAACACTGGTGATCAGGATGCTCACAGAACTGGTTGATTTTAGTCACAAATTAGAGGAACACATGAAGGCTAAGCTAATTGAAATGAATGGAAATACACGGGAAACCAATAGTAATGGAAAGGAAACTGGGACTCAAATCAAAGGAGTGGACCAGAAGGAGCAAAAAAATGACCAAATAGAAAAGGATGAAGAAACAAGAATTCGGAAAAAATGAGGAGAGACTTAGAAACCTTTAGGACATCTTTAAATGTTCCAACATCCGAATTATAGGGGTACCAGAAGGGGAAGAGGAACAGCATGAGTGGAAAACTTATTTGAACAAATAATAAAGGAGAACTTCCCCAATCTGGCAAAGGAATAGACTTCCAGGAAATCCAGGAAGCTCAGAGAGTCCCAAAGAAGTTGGACCCAAGAAGGAACACACCAAGGCACATCATAATTACACTAGCCAAGATTAAAATGAAGGAGAGAATCCTAGAAGCAGCAAGAGATAAGGGGACAGTCACCTACAAAGGAGTTCCCATCAGACTGTCAGCTGATTTCTCAAGAGGCCTTACAGGCAAGAAGGGGCTAGAAAGAGGTATTCCAAGTCATGAAATCCAAAGACCTACATCCAAGATTGATCTATCCAGCAAAGCTTTCATTAGAATGGAAGGGCAGATAAAGTACTTCTCAGATAAGATCAAATTCAAGGAGGTCATCATCATCAAGCCCTTATTATATGAAATGTTAAAGGGGCTTCCCTAAGAAAAAGAAGATAAAAAAGATGAACAGTGAAAGGACAGCAGACTCACAGTTATTAACAACCACATCTAAAACAAAAGCAAACTAAGAGGACAGCTAGATCGGGAGCAGAACCATAGAAATGAAGATCTCATGGAGAGTTAGCAACAGGGGAGTGGGAGGAGGAGAAGGGGGGAGAAGGTACAGAGAATGAGTAGCACAGACAGTAGGTAGAAAATAGATGGGGGAGGGCAAGAATAGTAGGGGAAATATAGAATCTAAAGAACTTGAGACACATGCTCATAAACTAAAGGGGGAGAATAGTGGGGAAGGGGGTATGCAGGGTGGAGGGTAATGAAGGGGGGAAATAGAACTGTAATGGCATAATTAATAAAATATATTTTTAAAATTAAATAAATAAATAAAATGAGGGTTGGAGCCTGGTTTTCAATGTTCTGAGACATGGCTCTTCTTCAGGACAGTTTTTGCCAACAATGACTTTTTGCCTTTCCTTCCTTGCTTATGGGTTTTCTTTTTTGGTGACATTTTCCCTTCAGTTTGAATTCTACTCCACTTAATGCAGCTGCCATCTGCCTCCTAAGCCCACAGCTCAGTCAGAGCAAGAGCACACAGACTCCTAATACTTCTTCAGTCCCTCATATCATTACTGCTCATCCCTGACCCTCTCTGACTAATCCATTCCCTTTGATCTGCCTCCTCCAAACAGATGGGACATGGTTTCTAGTGGTAATGCTCTGCCAAAAAGCATCCTGAATGACCTCTCTTAGATACAAACCTGGCAAATGAAGCCAGGATGCAGCAGGCTGGGTTGAAGGTCTGGGACAAAAAAACCCTGAATGTTGGCATTCCAGGACAAAGTCTTAACTTCGGAAATGAAACCACAGCACCCCTTCTGACCAGAGCCTAAGGACTGGTTCTTACCATAGCTCAGTGATCCCCCCCCAGCCACAACACACACACATGTACACACATCCAATCTCTAGCCTCTGACATTTATGCAATATTCCTACAAGAGCCCAGAGACAATGCTCTCACATGATCTCACAGAGCAGTAATAGTAGTAACAGCTATATTTATTTTATGTTTATATGCTAATGTTTTGCATACTTTACCCAACTTTCTTTTCATAACAAACCTAGAAAGTAGATAGCATTATTCCTAGTTAATAAGCTAAGAACTGGAGTTAGACAAGACCTAAGTTTAAATCCTGACTTCCCCACTTACAAGCTGTGTGATGTTAAGGCAAACTTCTTAAGCACAGTGACCCACAAATCCATGCTTTTTACCACCACTCTGCTGCCTCTCATTTCAGACTCACCAGGCCAAGGAATGACTTGGGGTCGGAAGCAGTGGAGTAGGACAGCTGAAGTTTCTTCATGTGTTCACTGATCTCTGGCTCCTGGGTAAAGAGACCCACACAAAAGTCACCCGGCACCAAGCACAGAAGGTCGTGATCACCACCAGGGAAGTCAGTTCAGGCCATGAAGCCAACACAAGGCTGACTCCAAACCAAAATCCACCTCTTCTGGAAAACCTGAAAGAGTCTTGAGGACCTTCCCTCCCTCTCTGGACACAGGCACCAGCCCCAGAACTCTCAGGCTGAGCCACCCAGGTCAATATAGACACCCACACTCTGATGTGGGTCAGCATGCATAAGGAGAGCTTCGTGAAGTGCAGTGAGGATGGCTACAGAGTTGGCAGGAGGCAAGTTTGATGCTATACTGAAAAATAAAAACCAAAATAAAAGTACCTTTTCCAGGAAGTAGTTAAATAAATTGATTACCTCACCATCTACCTGGAAGAACAGGACTAAGAGCTAGAAAATCAAAAATGCTAAAGGCTCTCCCCCCTGGGTCCTACTTCTGTCCATTTGGGTCATTGCCCAGGTAGAAAACAATAAGGAACCATCTTATAACCTAACTGCCCATGGCTGGGGCAGGAATTCCCAACTGTCCCCCAATCCCCCTCCAATGTTCTCTCTCTATAGGAACTCAGATTGCTGCAACCAAGACTAACCCCAAGATGAAGCCAAAAAGTAGAAGGGGGAGGCAGAAAATGGGAAGAGGAAGTAGGAGAACAGAAGAGCATGAACATCCCAGGAGGGTTCCAATGGAAAAGCAAACTTCTGCTCTGATTTCTTGAGCCAGCAGGTTTGGAGTTTCAGTCAGGATTTCACCTCCTGCTGAGTCCGGGCACATTTATCACAATTAAGGTTTCTGCCTGCTGTTGACAACCAACTGCAGGCCTGTAAATGAAGCTCCTGCCTCAAGAATAAAGATCTGGTATGGGAATGTGCACAGGACTTCAGAGAGCAGCAGAGGGTCACAGCCAGCAACTGCCTGTGGGACAAAGTGACTTACTTCACTGGCATCTGATCTGCTCTCTTTTGAAACAGCAGCCTCCTTCTTCAGCTCCTTTGCTGCCTCTTCCTTCCTGGAACCCTCCTCTCCTGCAGCCACCGGGTCCTCTGGTGCATCTTTTTTATTGGATTTGGCAGGCTGATTGCCCCCGGGGTCCACCAGACTCTTGGACATTACAGGATCACTCTTGTGATTCTTTTCTATCCCTGGGAGCCAAGTGCTCGCCTCTCTCCCCTGCTGCCCTCTGTCGTCTGCACTGGTCAAACTGCTCTCTGCAGCCTGGCTAAAGAGCCTGCAGGGAGCAGTGGGGCAGGAAGCGTGGAATCCGAGAGAGACGTCCTTCTCCTCTGGCTTGCTTGTTCTTGGAGACGCCTGGGGAACAGGAGATCATGTCAAAAGGAAGACATCAAGAATTAATACAAAGAATTCAGACTTGCTGTAGGACAGAACAGCTACTCCTTGACTTCTACAGGCTCTAGTTATGATGCCAACGGTTAGGAAGCATCCAAAAGCTTTTTAAAACAGATTACTGGCTCCACCCCAGACCTACGGAATCTGAACTTCACAGAGATTTAGAGAAACCCAACCTGACCCCCATCCACTGATGGGCTTGAAAAACACTGCATTGGATTGTACAACTCCATTACCACCTATCATGTCCTCAAATAATAAATCTGTCTCACTCCAGCCCCAACAGACAATCATAGGATTGCAGACTCAAAAGTCGGTATTTATTTACAATAATGATAGAGAATCACATGAGAGGAAAGTACCAAAGTTTAGAATTTCAATTTTTCATTTTAAAAGGCAGCAGGGAAAGGCAGAAGGGTATCTGGAGGATGCCCTTCTTCAACAGCAATACGTGCAGTTCTCTCCCTAGAGCGCTCCATGCATGAGAGCAGCCCTGGAGGCAGGGCCTCTGTCAGAGGACTTCAACTGTGTCCTGAGAAGCAGGTGCCAAGATGGGATTAGGTGCATACTCAGTGTATGAGGGAAATGCTCATGAAGGAAAAAGGGGGTTGGAAAGCCTTTAGAGCACAGGTCTCAGACCTGCGACTGGAGAAAGCGATGGAGGGAGCTACAGTAGGAGGAGTCTTGGGCCACAGCACAGTTCAGAGATACGTCTGGCAGGCCCAGAGGGTGTCCCGCACCAGGCAGAAATGGCCCTGCTGTACTCCATCTGCTCCATCAACAAATATGGCCTTCTCATGAGCCACAGTGGAGCAAAGATACAGCAGCTTTCAATCCGCTAGGGGCCTTTTACCAGGATCTCTTGAAAGGAAATGTGGGCAGTGAACCTCCACAACTGACACACCCTGCTTGTCACACACAAATCTCACTTTAAAGACTAGGGAAAACCTTTAGAGCTGGCCAAAATTAAAAAGAAAAAAAAAAAGAACCCCTGCCCCTTGGAAAGACAGCCAGGGATCTCTCCTGAGCTCAGGCAGAGAAGCCTTCCTCCCAGAAAACATCGATGCTAACACTTGACAGCTAGTGTGAAAAACTTCTGAGCAGAGCTTTTTGAGACTTCCTGATTCCTATCCTGAGACACTCTAACAAGGAGCCTGCTGATTAGAGTCCAAAGGTCCTAAGAGCAGCCCTGAACACAGCACTCACTGATGCTATCTGTGAAAGGACCTGCTAAATCCAAAGACATGAGCATCTATCTGCCTGCACATCTGGCAGCCTACTGACAAGCCAGCTCAAGCATTCTGACAACATGAGAAGAGGCAGGAAATCAGAGAAGTTCAGAGCTCAGCTTTGGAGACAGACTGCCTACGTGCAAATCTTGGCTCCACATGAGGCAAATTACTTTTCTGCACCTCAGTTTCTTCCCCTAAAATACAGGGATAAAGTAAGGCCTACCTCACAGGTTATTGGGAAGATTAAATAGGTTAACACTCATTAAGTCAGTCAAAGAACTGGGAGCTGTGCCTGGCATTAGTTATTCCATAAATATTAACTAATATAATATGACAAGACCCACACCTTTACGCACTGAGACCTTTGATGTGCCAAACACGACCTTGGTAACCCAAATATGAACAAGACACAGATCTTGCCCTCAAGGAATTCAGATGAATATGAAGAAAACTGAAATGTCACAGATGACCCTGGTTATGAGCCTTTACTGGCCAAAACAAAGAGCACTGGACACAGTGGTGATGCTGTCACCAGCTTCAAGCCTGTCCCAGGGAGAAAAACAGGGCCCCTTCCAGTGTTGCCCATCCTCCCGACATCCCTGACCTGTAGCCTGGGAGAAATCTGCCATGATCACTGAGCTGACAGAAGGGGGCAAGATGAGCTCCTCCTCTTCAAGACCAGGCTCTTCTGGGCGAGGAGGCCTCCTCATCTCAATATCCCCAATAGTGGCCAGCACCTGGCAGGACCTCAGTAACCAGTGGGGGGTGGGGGGTCCCCAAAGACTCCATGAAGGAGGTGGGAGTTTCTCAGGGTAAGTGGAGGTACCTGGCTAGCCACACTGCTTCATTCATCAAAAGTAGGACCAACCCTGACCAGTGTGGCTCAGCTGTTTGGAGCGTCATCCCTTAAAGGACAGGTTGCAGGTTCGATACCCGCTGAGGGTACATACCTAGGTTGCAAGTTCAATTCCTGGTCTGGGTGTGTATGATCCCTGATCTGGACATATGCAAGAAGCAACCAACTGATGTTTCTCTCTCACATCAATGTTTCTTTTTCTCCCTTCCTCTCTCTCTAAAAGCAGTGAAAAAAATGTCCTCCAGTGAGGATTAAAACAAAAGCAAAAAACAAAACCAATCCACCCAGCTATGCTGACCTCATGACTAAATAAAGGCAGCAGACTGGGTTAGGGGACAGAGGAGGTGCCATATCACAAACAGCACCCACGGCTTTTGGGACAAAGTTTAGCCCCTGCCTGCTTCTCATGAGTCACCCCCAGCCGAACCCTGCACACATCCTCTCCTCCTGCCAGTGAATAAATATCAGGCCTTTTTGCTACTTTGCCATACACATTCTTAAATCTCTCCCTCACCCCTCCCCTGCCGGCTAGTCCTCACAGCCTCACAGCTTTCAGGAAGCCCTCTCTGACCACTGGTGCAGTGGCCCTGAGATCAGCCTTCCCCGTCCTCTTTCATAACAATGACTGTACTATAATTGCTGATTTCCTTGTCTGTTTTCCTCACCAGATCAGCTCCCTATTATCCTCACTGCCTGGCACATAATAATTTCTCAGTAAATGCTTGACTGAATTTTCAAAAATAAACTGTAAAAACTCCACAGACATTTGCTCTGCTGTGGAAAGGACAGCTTCAACTTGAGTAAGCCCTCTCACAGCTACTCTGGAGGGAAAGAAACCGAGGATGAGAGATCTGGAAACTAACACTACTGCTGCATAAATAAAGACAAATGAGTGTGTTGTACAAATATAGGGGTTCCCACTCTATAAAAGGGAGATGTAATATTTATTTTACAAGATTATGCAGGGATTAACTGTATATATTTGTTATACCGCTTATTAAATAAGAAATAGCTAAACAAATGTTAACTATTAATATTCAAGATGATGGAAAAACAAGTAACTTATCAAACACCAGAGGACACCAGACACAGAGATTCATGTTGTTATACGTGAGGGAACACAGCAAGACTACAAGAACACAGGGTTAGCCATTCTCAAGCTTATATTCTTCAAAAGAAAATTTTCCTACAACAGAGCTTGTCCTTTCCATCTACCTGAATATTAAAATATTACAACACGGCTCACACAGTACGTGAGTTTGCACTCTCTGAGTCTGTGACAACTGCACATGACAGCCGGAGGCACATCTGAGGGGAAGAATGGCAGAGGGAGACTAGGCATTTGTGCTGGATTCTCCCAAAACGGGTGAATGAGATGAGTGTGCAGAAAACCCGTCAGATGGCCAGAGGACACGCTCCTCTGCTCTCACCGGCCCCACTCCTGACCATAACCTGTGGCCCTGCCAGGACACGCGCACCAGGCCCCGGTGACGGAGTCTGTCAGTGTTGTAAGGGGCACTCAGGCAGGGGCAGGGGACTGCACCCCCAGCACAGCTCTGCTCTCAACTCCTCTGCAGTGACACCCTTTGTCTCCTGTCACAGCCCAGGTCCGGGGATATCTCAAGGCAAATTTCTGCTGCTTTTTCGATCAGAAGACCTTGTCATCTACATGTGGAAGGTAGTGTAGGAGAGTGCCCGAAAGGACTATTTCATGTTTAACATACCCTCAGAAAGCCATGAGGCCCCCAGTGCTACAATCCTCCTCCAGCCCAGAGCACAAAGGAAGGGAAGCCCAGGTCCTGTTCAGGGGAGACCCCACCAAGCCCACCATCAGGCCAGTCTATTTTCCACATCTCATTCCCACCTAGTTGGTCTCAATTCTTTGCACTTCTCCCTGGTGTTATTAGCACTTTCCATTCACAGTGACATCATCCTGCTATTCCCTGTCCTTTGATCAGCTGATGGGCTTTTCACTAGCGACATAAGGCCAAATGCCGGCTCACCTACCATTCAACCTCCCTCTTTCACTCACACCCATTTTCAGTGTCTGTTTCATCAACCTATCCCTTTTGATTCTGTAATAGACTACAAATGGGTTTAATTGGAAGTCAGAAGAGGATGGGCAAGGGGGGAGAGAGAGAGGCATTCTTGCCATCCTACTGCCTTCTCATGGAATCGAGCAAAGTGATGGCTGACAATGAGACGGTAGAACAAACCTCCAAAAAGAAGTTCTCCATCTGAGCCTGGGGCACCTCAGTGGATCTAAGGTTTATAAACTGGGGCAAAAGCCATTTTCAAAAGCCATGGTCCAAGCAGAGGCAGCTTCATCATCTCCCTAAACGCACCCTTCCCGCATTCATCTCCACAACTAACCTGCCCTATCCAGCTTGGAAAAGTCATGGGAGGCGTACGTAACACCTCCCACTCCAGACATTCCACCCCATCACCCTGGGTGGCCTATTTACATTAAAAAGGTCACACAAAATATGTTTAAAAGCATCCACTCACCAAAAAAAGCATATCATCATCAGAAAGGAAGCCTTTGGAAGTCCAGGACATGTCTAAGAAAAAAATCCCCTTTTTGTTGACACTAATAATCCATTGTAAAGTAAAAATTAACTAGCCCAAAGTCAAAGTTCATCATGATCTATCCACTTTGGAATCTCCAATCCACCAGCTGATAGCAGGAACCAAGTATCTACTCTGCATAGGACATGGGAAAGCCAAGGGAAGAAAAAAATGCAGCACAACCTGCCAGGATACCCTCCCTGTTCCAGCATTACCCATTCCTTCATTCACCCATTCATTCTCTCAGCTGTTCAGCAAAACTTGCCCACCCCCTTCCTATGTTCCAGACAGTGGGAGATATATATATATATATATGTGTGTGTGTGTATGTACACACACATATATATGTATATATATATAAACATAAACATATAGACACAAATAGGGTAAAATCTCTACTCTCAGTTTGCTCTGTCTTGTGGAGACTACCCTCTTTCTCCAAAAGTTAAGCCAGTCCTCCTGATACCCCATTCCTATTCGTGGTCATCCTTCTAAGCTCAAAACCTGAGCTAATGATTCCTTCAGTATTTAAGGTCTTAATGGTAGATGACAAGAAACAAAGTTGTCATTTTAGGGAAGAAAACCAATGAAAGGCTTTGGATTTAATGCAAACAGACCAGGCCCCACTCAGAAGGAAGAGTTTCAAAGTAGGCAAAGATCAGTTTGTTGATAAAGATGGGACAGTCGGAAAAAAAATGTCACATTTGGAAGAAAGTATCTAAGTCACAATCAAAACATATCTGATTGTGTGGAGCCAAAACTATGGACAGTTTGTGAGGTACTAGAGAAAGCCTAACTATAAAACAGGGGCCTGCAATGGCTCGAGTTGGGTCACCTAGGAAGACCCACCTATAAGTCAGGGCCTGTCAGACAACATCTGCAACCTCAGCCGGCCTGAGATGTTCCCCCTGCTCTCCAGGTGAGCTGAGGACCAAGAAATAAGAGTTAGAAGTAACAGGAACATATAAGGGATTATAAGGACATAATATAAGAAATAATAAGGAAACAAATTTTAATCCCTGATACAAGCACTGTTGTTTTAGTGGTCAGTTTTGTGATGATTCTAATAAAACAAGAGTGATCTGTTCCATTTTAGAGTGTTTAAAGTATTTAAAAGAATTTGGTATATTACACTGTGAAAAGTTTAATTATGTATGCAATCAATATGTAAATGTTTGAGGAAATCTGAATTGCTGACCTCATGATTTACTAGTTGTGTGAATACTTTGGAAATATTTAGAGAAATATTATTATTTTTTTTTTACAGGCAGGAAGGGGCTGGAAGGAAGTGCTAGAAATCAAGAAAGTCAGAGGGACCTACATCCAAGATGACTTTATCCAGCACAGTTATCATTTAGAATGGAAGGGCAGATCAAGTGCTTCCCTGATAAAGTCAAGTTAAAGGAGTTCATCATCACCAAGCCCTTATTCTATGAAATGTTAAAGGGACTTATCTAAGAAATAGAAGATCAAAAATATGAACAGTAAAATGACAACAAACTCACAACTATTAACAACCAAACCTACAAAAACAAACTAAGCAAACAACTAGAACAGGAACAGAATCACAGAAATGGAGATCACATGGAGGGTTATCAGTGGGGAGAAAGAGATAGGGAATAGGGAAAAAGGTACAGGAAATAAGAAGCATAAATGGTAGGTAGAAAATACACAGAGGGAGGTTAAGAATAGTATAATAAATGTAAAAGCCAAAGAACTTATAAGTATGGACATGAACATGGGGGGGGGGTGGAGGGTGGAATGCAGGTGGGAGGAGGAGGGTGCAGGGCAAAGGGGAATAAAGGGGTGGGAAATGGGACAACTATAATAGCGTAATCAATAAAATATATTAAAAAAATAAAAATTTAAAAAGTTTTAAAGAAAGGAAAAATCATTCATTGAAACACTACTTATCTTGATTACTGAGATTTTCAGCACCCCCTTGAGTTTTGCTCCTGAGGTGAATGCCTCACTCACCCCACCCGAACCCCAGCCCTTCTGGAGTTGTGGGCATTTGTATGTCCATAACATGCAGAGCTGCAGCCTGAGCAAAATATTAATTGTTAAAAACGAATAAACTGAACACCAAAATACATATAGTAGGAAATGCTCCTTTTCAAGTACAAAACTGCACTGGAGTTTTTAGGTGTAATAACAATACGATGAGTTTGGGGTTTTGTTTGTTTTTATAAAAAACAGACAATCTAAACAGATAAGATACCTCTGGTGGCAGTAAAGAACAGACCATGTACAAAGAGATCAGAAGCAACAGGACTATTGGGGGAAAGGGATATTTCCGGAATCTATTCTCAACCATATTCTGCATTTCTCAGGCCTCCTGCCTTCGCTCAAACTGTTTGCTTGCCTAAAACACCCCTATATCCTTCCCCCATGTCCAAAACTTACCTACTCCTCAAGAGCCAGGTCAAATGTCATCTCTTCCACTAAGTTTTTCCTATCTTCAAATAAGTAATTTCTTCCACTTCAGGACTCCTCCAAACAGTGTACCTGAGCTGTTCAGTTCTTGTACATACTGCCCTGCTTTATAGTTTCCTAAATATTCATTTATTCAACAGTTATTGATCATGTACTAAATACCAATTATCTAGCATCCTTTCTCTCTCTCCAACTACAAACTCCTTGAGGCCAGCCCAGACCCATATCTTACCAATACCTGGATTTCCCACAAGGCCAAGCACAGAGGTCTGCTACAGAGCCAGCATTCAACAAATGCTCAGAATCTGGACAAAGTTACACTCTGTTTAAAACCACTGATGGTAGACAATGCCTGTGTAATTCCATCCCAATTTATTAGCTAGCACACAGGTCCTCCATAATCCAGCCTAACCTACCCCCACAGTGTTCTCATTCCTTTCCCACACACGTTCTGTATTCCAGTCAAAGGAGATAACCTCATCTCCCTCCACAAATTCATCCCACACCTCTGTCCCTGCCTATGCAGTGCCCTGCATTTGGACTTCTCTCTCACCATTCACCTCTGCTTGTCTAGCCCAGCCCTTTGTTCTTCTTCACTCACCTCAGACACCAGTTTGTCAATGAAGCCCTTCCTGGTCAATCCAAACAGACAAGAGACCTCTAATGCTCTGCTCCACGGCCTCGCTGCATGCTACTCTGCACTCCAATTATAGTCTCTCTTTTACGAGATTATAAGTTCTTAGCGGGCAGGAATCATATCTAAGGCATTTGTTGCATGTTATGTCATGCTATGACCTGCAGCACCTAGCAAAGCACCTTATTTTGTAGAAACATGCAACAAATGGTGGTTATTTGACAAATGACTAAGTGGATGAAGTACTTTCCCTCTATGCTTCCCCAAGCCCCAGAAATCTTATCTGGACAGAATTGGGACAAAATGGTCCTCTTTCCTAATATGTATTCCATGGAGAGAAAGGCTTAAGAAGCAAGGAAGTACACCACAGATTAAGTAAGGAATCTGCCTACAGGAGCTTCAGGATCTTACCTCATACTCAAAGTCGCCTCCCAGGACCCCAATGTCCAGGTGCAGGTTCTTAAGAAGCTCACTTGAGCTGCCAATGCTCTGAAACAAAAATGACTATGAGTGGTGAGCTGGAAAATGGGACAGCCCAGAGAGACGGCCAGGAGGCTCTTGGTTGGTTATACTTTCTCAGTCAGACCTGAGAGGTATACAGACTAGGCAACAAATGAAGCTGCGAGCTGGAAATCATTTTTATTTATTTTCAAAGTTGCACAAAAGTTAGCCAAAAAGTGAAAACAACCCAAGTTGTTTTCTCCTATCAACAAATGAATGGATACCTGGCTGGTGTAGCTCAGTGGACTGAGCACAGGCTTGCGAATCAAAGCAATGCCAGCGTGATTCCCAGTCAGGGCTCATGTCTGGGTTGCAGGCCATATCCCCAGTACGGGGTGTGCTAGAGGCAACCATATACTGATGTTTCACTCCCTCTTTTTCTCAGTCCCTTCCCCATCTCTCTAAAATAAATAAATAAAGTCTTAAAAAAGAACCCAAATGAATGGATAAAGTGTAGTCCATATATTCAATAAGGATTATTCAGCCATAAAAAGGAATGAGGTTCCAATACACTCTACAATGCTAATATACCTTGAAAACATTATGCCACACAAAAGAAACCATACATTAAAGGACAATGATTGTATAATTATAGTTATATGAAATATCTAGAATAGGCAAATTCATAGAGACAGAAAGTAGATCAGTGGCTCACCAGGGGCTGGGCAGAGGGAAGAATGGGGAGTTACTGTTCAGCAGGCACATAGTGTCTGTTTGGGATTATGGACAAGTTCTGGAAATGGACTGTGGTAACAACTGCACAACACTGTAAAAGTAATTAATGCCTCTAAATTGTATAGTTAAAATGGTAACTTTCATATTTTATACACACACACTTTACCATAATAAAACATTTTTCAGAAAAAAATAGCACAGAGGGTTTTCAGGGCCAGGAGCAGAATCATCATTACCTGGTTGTCACTCTCCACCTCATCGTCCTCATTGGCCTCCTCCCCTAAAGCAAAGAGGCTGACAGCATTCTTGTCCTCATGGAGGGAGCCCACCCGACCATTTGCATAAGCAGAAGTCTTGAGACCCTGTGAAGGCTCCAAATAGAAAAAGAGAATCAAGGGACTCATGAGGAAGACCTTCAGAATGCTCTCCTCACTCTCCTTCTGTTTAGATGTCTTCCAGAGCAAGGCTACCACATCCACAAGGCTGACCCTGATAACTCTGGCTCACACTGATCCCTCCTTTCCCCAACTACCACTGCCCTGGCCATGGAGACTAGGAAATCAGCACTGCAGTCCCTGGGGCATGGTCTGTCCTCCACTGCCAAGAGCCCACCTTCAGCATCATTCAGGTATAATTTACCTTCCCAACTGGATTATGAATATTGAGGACACAGCCCATGCCCTCTATTTCTCATCTATGGGCCACACAGTTCCTAGCACGGTACAAGGAAACCCCACAGTAACTAAATACACTTAACACAAGAAAAAGCACTTACCAGCGTGAGTTCTCCGAGCTGGCCAGACTCCACTGCGTTCCCTAAGCTCACACTTTGAGAAACACGAAGAGCAGAGGGTGGGGCATCCTCTAGGCCTCGTAAGGGAGCCAGGCCCCCAACAGGAACATGGACTGGGGCTAATGAGGAGCCCAGGGCCTGAGCAACAGAAAACATCTTGTTACAAACCCAAGAAACCACATGGCTCTGAGAGTTGGAGACAGATATAAAAATTAAACATCTAAATCCTGCCCACTCAAATTTAAACCACCTCCATTCAGAGGCTGCCAATGAGATATAACACCCAGAAATTGCCATCGTGCCAACTGTGTGAGAAATCACAGGTTGGCTCCCTGATTCTCATAGCTCCACTGCTGCTCCCAGTAAACAGCCCCTTGCACCTGGCAGGTGCTGCACAGGACCCTGCTCCCCTTTCAGAAGCCACACGGGAAGGGTGTGGAAGGAGAAAGCAGAGACAAGGGCCTCATCTACTAGAGCGAAAAATCTCAACGGGTAAAGTTTAAACTGATGAATCAAGAAAAAGCAGTGTAAGCACAGTATTCAAAAATATGGACGTGAACACCAGAAGAAAGTTGCCTCTGAAAAGAGGCACACACACCGCAGAACTTCTGTACCTTGTGATAGGTCTTTTGGTGCAATTTCACTTTGTATAATATGGGCATGTTTTATTCTGATTAAAATAAATATTAACTATAAAACAATATACATGAGCAACAAAAAATAAACTCTCCTGCCCACCTGCACTGACGGGAAAGTGGGTGACAGAAGCCAAGACTGGCCCCTTCTTCTGCCTGCTCTCTGAAGGCGTTCTGCTGGCACGGCCCGGGAAGCAAGGCTAGGAGTCAGAGTCTGGGAGACCTTGGGCTACTCACAGTTACCCATCCAAATGATGGAGATGATGTGTGTCCAATCACTTAAGGTTTGTTGAGAAGTTCAAATGAGATCATCAGTGCATGGAGCACATGCAAGAGGTCCGGGGCTACACCAAAGTTATGGAATTGCTATTATTACTACTACAGAGATTCACATTATAATAGTCTGGGCTAGAAGCAGAGGCAAGGATAGCACTCTAGGGACAATTTACAAAGAGCTCTTTAAAATTCATTTTGCAAACTTAAATTGTATAAAGAATACAAAGATTCCATTTCCTTCTAATCCCACATGGACTGCAGAGAGAAAGGGGAACCAGGAGAAGGTCAGAATTAGAACATTCAGCCCTGGTTAGTGTGGATCAGTACAACCAAAGTGTTGCTGGTTTGATTCCCAGTCAGGGCGCATGACTGGGTTGCAGGCCAGGTCCCCAGTAGGGGGCACGTGAGAGGCAATCACACATTGATGTTTCTTTCCCTCCATTTCCCTCCGTCTATAAATAAATAAATAAATAAATAAATAAATAAATAAATAAATAAATCTTAAAAAAAAGAGAGAGAGAACATTCAGACGGCCCATCTCCTCACCCATAGTATTGGCCTAGGGCCAGACCATCAGGTAGGCCCTGAATAGGGCCCATTTCTCCACGGAAAGGGCATCAGATGTTCATCTGAAAGGTGACATGAGAACCACTCTCAGGCCTTTGTAGGTTACCACTCACCTAGCCTGTTACGGAATATCTTTGTTAGGCAGAAAAGGAAATGGCTATTAATAAAATTGGCCGAAATCACCAGAGTTAAGCACTTTAAATGCCACATCTCACTGTACTCTGATGACAGCCTAAGGGCACTGTTCTTGCCACGTGAGCCAACAGAGATTGGTGAAATCAAGACCCCTGCCCAAAGTCATGTGGCCAGCAAGCAGGGCAGATGTGGGCTTGGAATTGGGGCTATCTCTAAGCACCGGCTTACACTGCCTCCTGGTTGTTGGTCTCTGATCCAACTTGACTCCTTCTAAATGAAGAATATGGTGTGACTATTTAAAGGAACAAGGGTCAAAATGACAGGGCAAGCCCAACTCTTTGGTAATCCCAGTAGGGATTACCAGGAAGTGAAGCACAAACAGGGTCTGCACAGCTTGACACAGGTTATTCACATGGTTTCTGGGAAGCCTGGGAAGCAAGAAGCAGAAGCAGCTTACTGGATGGTAGAGAGATTCTGCGCTTCAGCCCCTTGTAATCATATTAACTCTCTAGTTCTGTGTGATTCTTAGGAGGGACTCAGTTGAGAGCTCAGTGGTAGGGTGTCTGGTTAGGAGGGCTCTCTCTATAATCAGCTGATGAGAAAGGCTTCCCAAATCCTGGGAAGGTACCTACACCTACATGAGTGCCAGGATTGGTGCCACCTTACTCACCCTCAAAACTGAACATCCCCAAAACATGCGATCCACCCAGGAAGTCTAGGCCCCTTCAACTCTATTTTGTATGTGATGGGGTAGAAGAAACATGAAATACATGCCATCCCACAAGATGGCCATCCTGAGTAGTTAAGGGATCAATAGTTACCATTGGAGGGTAAGTAACAGGAAAGCAGACCTAACAGCCGGCTGCATTAAGATATGAACTGACCCTGCTCCCTCGATGCCACATTCTATGAGGCCTCGGCACCATGCTCTCTAAGAAGCCTACCTGGTTGAGAAGCTGCATCTTGCCTGCCTCTACAGCAAGTCTTCTGTTGGAACTCAGCTCGACTAGCCCCTGACTGAGAGGGGTGCTGCTTGGCTGAAGACAGGCTTGCTGAGAGACCTCCTGCCCAGCTGGGGCAAGGGCCATCTCTTGAGGATGCTCCAGCAGCTCTGGCCCCCAACCCAGAAACTGTAAGTCCCTGTCCGTTACGCTGGTGGTCTCGTGCTCACCCATGGGAGACATCCTGGGAGACCGAGCTGTTGTGCAGCTGACCATGCTGGCCAAGTCTCTGCATGGCATTTCCTGCATACTCTCTGGCAGCCCCAGGTCCTCCAGCTGCTTGGAGATCTTGGCCATCTGCAGGATATGCTGGTAGAACCTCTGATCCTCGGAGTAGTCTTCACTCTCTGACTGCTCATCTGCAGAGCCCTGCAGGTGGGACAACTGGGGCACTATGAAGGGGCCAGAGTGTAGATCTCTGGGTCCAGGGCCTGCCTGACCCACACCCTGCTCAGATCCCGGACAGCTCTGCAGGTCCCATGGGAAGTTATTCACCTCACCCACGACTTGAGAGCTAAGGTGAGAAGCCAGACTGCTGTTGCTGTTGCTCTCTAAGTCAGACCCATCACCACTGGGCCTCCTGTCTTCTTCAGGGGGCTCTGTAGACAATGGGAGGTATCTCTTCTCACTGGTAGGAGATGCCTGAGGGGCACTCCCTGATGGGGCATTCTGGGCTGGTTCTGATGCCAGAGTATTGGACAATATTAGGGAGAGTCCCTGAAGTGGATCTTCAGCTGAGGCCCCTAGATCCTCAGGATCATTGAACTCTGTTTTCTTGCAGATCCTGGGAGTGTCCTTGTTGACAAGCTTGGAGACCTGTCCCATCCACAATCCTGGGGGCTCTCTCCTCCTCCTTCCCCAACCCACACTCCCACCTTCCCCAGAAACACCCTGACAGCTCAAGTCTTCAGCTGGGCCTCTGTCTAACAAGAACAGCTTGCTCTTCCCAGTAGGCAGCATCTGGTCAGAAGAACAAGGAGACAGGGGGAGGTCCTCCTCAGGGGATGGTGAGGAAACAGAGCTCTGGCCCTTGTCCCCCGCAGGGCCAGTGGAGCTCAGTTTGGCCATGGTGTAGCTGTGCTGCTCGCCTTTCATCTGTGGGCCCTTGATGGTTTCAGAAAGCTTTGAGTGGGGAGAGGCCTGGCTCCTGCCTTCCAACACACCCTGCTCATTCTGGAGGGGCCCACTGTTCTCAGGGCCCAGAGGGCCAAGTTTCTGCTGTCTGGTCCTCATTTCCAGTTCTTCTATTTCAGGGTCTGAAAACCCCAGGTAGATGTTCTCAGTTGGCTTCTGGGTTTTCTCCAGACCCTTGTGATCACCTAATTCCGTCCAGCATTGGGCTGGGGCCCTGCCTAAGATTTTCTCCATGTCGGCAAAGATTTGGTGGGAAGCTTGGCCTTTGGAGAGTGGCTGTAGTTTGTTGGGCAGGGTGCCCCTGAGAGGCCAGGGGGTATCACCAAGCATGCATGGGCTCTTCCCTTTGTTAAACAAGCCCTCACTTCTAGCCTGTATCTCTTGTTCTAGGTCCATATCAGCAAGCCCAGGTGCTGGGAGAGGGGATGGGCCACGGAGAAAGGAGGAAGAAGGCAGAAGTCCCTGCTCGGGCTGTGTCTCCTAGATGGATATATAAACATGCAGAGAAAACTAAGACAAAGCCCTGCTAATTCATACTTGCTACCTCAGCCCTAGGCAAGCCCTTAGCAGAAACCCACCCTCCATTTAAAGTAAAACAAAAACCAAAGAGGGAAGAAAAGTTAAAAGCTCTGTTGGGCTTTATTGTCTTCTGGCCCTAGTTTCCTTATCTATGAAGAGGAGGCGTGACAGATCAATGGCTTACTAACCTTGCTCCACAGAACCTGCAGGTTGGTTCCACATGGTACCTGGGGGTCACTAGTAGTGTACATGTAGTGAAGAAGGGGCATTACCAAGACCCACACCCCCAGGGGCAACCACAGTGGCTCCACTTCTTCTTTACATGCTGGACCCCTCTGGAGGAACTGATTTAGAGACAGGGCTTCACTACCAACCAAAGTTTGAAAATCACCAACCAGATTATCCCTAAGGTAGCATCAAGCTCTCAGTTCTGTGTTTGGTAAATTTTATAAAATCCACCAACCTTACCAAGGACTACCAGAATTATCTAAAAAGAGAGAAAAGAGGGGAAATCTAACTGTGAGCTAAGCCTAGGAAACAGTCGAAGTCTGTGCCCTTAGAAGGCACAAGTTGGTACTACTCAAAAGAGGTTTGTGTAGTCTGAATGCTGGGGCTAGAAGAAACCCTAAAAAATCAATCACACCCTGCGAACATTCACACTAAACTCCTCCCAGCCCATGAGCCCATACCTCTAGACAGCCCAAACCACCTAAGTCCCGGTCACCCACCCATCTTCCCTTAAATAAACTAAGGTTTGAGACTCCTATCCTCAGCCCTAAAAGCCAGACTGGCAGCCCAGGGTTATCCAATTGTCCCCAGCTCCTGAAACTAAAGAAGAAATTCTTTTTGAAGAGTGTGCCAAGAATTCGGTCACACAGCCAGAACTCAGACTATTACCCAACCCTCCATCCCAGAACCCTCACTTCCTTCTCTCTTGTATCTTTGGCCATGCCACAGCCTGACCAGATGCTGAATATCATTCAAAATAATCCTAGGCAGACCTGGGCAGCCCTGGTGGTGCAGCTCAGTTGGTTGAACATCATCCCATGGTCCAAAGAATCATGGGATTAAGTCCCTGTCAGGGCACATGCCTAGGCTGCAGATTCAGTCCTGGTCAGGGCGTGTATGAGAGGCAACCAATCGATGTTTCTCTCTCACATTGATGTTTCTCTCTCTCTCTCCCCCTTCCCCTCTCTCAAGTAAAAAATAATAATAGTAATCCTAGTTAAATGAAAACCCCATTGTTCATCTTTTGCCTTCAAACACATGACTTCAGAAAATTCAACCTATTTGGAAATTACCTGTCCTCTTTTCTCCATCTGGAGGAACAGGCTTGTTATCTTATTTCACAGAACTATGAGTAGTAATATATGGAAAAGAGGAAGGGAGGGAGGAGTATCTATAGAGCTCAGAGATGATGAAAAGAATAAATTCATCAGCAACCATCCAGTGCCAGAACTGACACCTTGAAAAGGATGGAGGATGAGGGAAAACTTCACTGAGAAGCAAGCACCAGGCACTGGTGGGAAATAAAGACTATAAACAAAAGAACAAATCAACTGGACTTGAGAGGGTTGAAAAGATAGTCCTAGTGCTTTCCACCTGGCTGACCCTCCCTCTGCTCAAAAGCCCTGCCTGCCCCACCCGAGGGAAGGAAAGAAGGCAGGGTGTGTGGCACTGCCACAGAATGGCTCCAACTCTTAGCTTCTCCACCTACAAAATGAGGGCAGTAACTCTGCCTCCTAAAGGCAGACATACTAAAGGAAAAATAAAACGGAAAATAACATCTTCAAATCTGAGCAAAACAGCTCCTTGAGACCAAGGACATTATGCTACAATCAAATTTCAGCTATACATCACTCACTTAGGACACTGGCAACTAAAACAAGTAGATAGACTTCTGGCCAAGATGGAGGCGTAGACACACTATGCCTCCTCCAACATCCAAAATAAGGACAACAAAACTTAGAAACAAAAAACAACTAGTACTACCAGAAAATCGAACTGTATGGAAGTCCAACAACCAAGGAATTAAAGAAGAAACATTCATCCAGACCGGCAGGAGAGGCAGAGACAGGCAGCTGGGTGGAGAGTGCTCACAGCAAAGCGGTGGCTGACAGACCCAGTAAAGTGCCAAACTGTGGAGGGGCATGGCACACAAGGCTGGCAGACTGGGCAGTCCCACATTCTCATGCAGATAAACGAGGCGAAACTGGGGAGCGAGACAGACCATGCAACCCAGGGTCCCAGTGAGGGAAAAAAAAGCCTCAAACCACCTATTGAAAACACCGGTAGGGGTTGAGCTGCCAGGAGAGATTCCCAGCCATACAGAATAGTTCGCTGGAGAGACCCACAGGGTCCTAGAGCGTACACAAGCCCACCTACACAGGAATCAGCACCAGAAAGGCCCAGTTTGCTTGGGGGAAGTGTCAGAAGGGACTGAGGTTCAACAGACAGCAGAGCAGGCACCATTGTTCCCTCTCGGACACTGCCCCCACATACAGTGTCACAATTCAGTGGCTGGGTTGCCCTAAAGCTCTGCCCCTCACTACCTAACAGGCATGACAAGACAAAAAAAAAAAATGCCCCAAATGAAAGAACAGATCAAAGCTCCAGAAAAAATACAACTAAGCAACCAAGAGACAGACAACCTATCAAATGCACAGTTCAAAACACTGGTGAACAGGATGCTCACAGAATTGGTTGAATTTGGTCACAAATTAGATGAACAAATGAAGGCTACACTAAGTGAAATGAAGGAAAATGTACAGGGAACAAATAGTGATGGGAATGAAACAAGGACTCAAATCAATGGAGTGAATGAGAAGGAAGAAAGAAACAACCAAACAAAACAGAATGAAGAAATAAGAATTCAAAAAAACGAGGAGAGGCTTAGGAACCTCCAGGACATCTTTAAATGTTCCAACATTCGAATTATAGGGGTACCAGAAGGAGAACGGGCAGAGCAACAAGTGGAAAACGTTATTGGAACAAATAATAAAGGAGAACTTCCCCAATCTGTCAAAGGAAATAGACTTCCAGGAAGTCCAGGAAGCTCAGAGAGTCCCAAAGAAGTTGGACACAAAGAGGACACACCAAGGCACATCATAATTACATTACCCAAGGTTAAAATGATGGAGAAAATCTTAAAAGCAGCAAGGGAAAAGGAGACAGTTACCTACAAAGGAGTTCCCATCAGACTGTCAGCAGATTTTTCAAAAGAGACCTTGAAGGCAAGAAGGGACTGGAAAGAAGTATTCCAAGTCCTGAAAGATAAGGACCTACATCCAAGATTGCTCTATCCAGCAAAGCTTTCATTTGGAATGGAAGGGCAGGTAAAGTGCTTCCCAGCTAAAGTCAATTTAGAGGAGTTCATCATCAGCAAGCCCTTATTTTATGAAATGTTAAAGGGACTTATCTAAGAAAAAGAAGATAAAAAACATGTACAGTAAAATGACAGCAAACTCACAATTATTAAGAACCACACCTAAAACAAAAACAAAAACAAACTAAGCAAACAAGTACAACAGGAACAGAACCACAGAAATGGAGATCACATGGAGGGTTAGCAACAGGGGAGTGGGAGGAGGAGAGAGGGGGAAAAGGTACAGAGAATAAGTAGCATAGGTGGTAGGTAGAAAATAGACAGGGGGCGGGCAAGAATAGTATGGGAAATGTAGAAGCCAAAGAACTTATACTCACGACCCACGGACTTGATCTAAAGTGGGGGAATGTGGGTGGGAGAGGGTGTGCAGGGTGGAGGGGAATAAAGGGGGGGAAATGGGACAACTGTAATAGCATAATTAATAAACTAATTTAAATAAAAATAAATAAAAATTAAAAGTTCATCCTAAAATGAATAAATAATTAATTAATTAAACAAGTGGATAAAGTTCAAGGCCTTTCTTTGGGGGCTATGAAGAAACTGGTGTTCTAGCAGATGACATCAAGGACTCACACCACTGAGAGACCACAATGAGTTCACACTATGAAGGCCTGACTCCGACAGCAGATGAATGACACTCTGCTCATGTAGGCTGTCTGGCCTCTGCCAGCTGCTCCCTGTCCCCCTACAGTCCAGAAGAGCCAATGGCATCGCTTCTTACATTAGTATTGCAAACCACAATCCTCAGCAGAGCACTCTTTCCTACCAATCCTTTATGTGATATGGGCTTCCCAAGGGGAAAAAAGGAATTGTTTAGAAATAATAACAACTTCAAGAAGGTGAGAGGAAAATCTGCCAGAAGACTGGCACAATTCAGATGATGTACTATCAGGAAATTGCCATTTATTGTGGTTGTTCTTAACCTCCCAGCTCTAAACACCTAGAGGTTCCCAATATCCCCTCAGGCTGCAGCCCAGTCTCTCTGAGCTCGTACCCACTGACTCACCATGGGACTTTTCGAGGTCTCTTTGTCTTTTTTCTCTTTCTTTTCCTTTTTCTTTTTCTTGTCTTTCTTCTTAATGGCCCCAGAAGCTGACAGCTTCCCTCGCTCTTGGATTACCAAGTTCCGATAGTGCTCATCACAGGGGTGGTCCCAGGTAGACTGCCCATTGGCAAAGTTGAAATAGTAAATATCACCTGTGATATCCTGGCTGGGGAGGAGCAGAGAACAGAAATTAGTCCCTGCTCAAGTTCAAAGCTACTTGGAAAAAAAAGAAAAGGAAAAATGGCAGAGGCGGAGGCAGAGGAGAAGGAATTGGAGAAAAGGGAAAGAAGGAGAGAAGATGGAAGGATGGGGAAAGACGGGAAAGGGCAACAGAAAAATTAAAAAGTACCATTTAGCTAAGAATAAAGGAGTTAATTTAGATAAAAACAAAGGACTGGGATACCTAGAGACATCTCTACATGGAGAGGTATAATCATTGGGGTTCCTGAGAATTCATGCTAGACTGGTGTGGGAATAAACTTGGTTCTAGATAGGTAAGTACAAACACCATGGTATACTGGAAATAAAATCTAGGATAGACCTTGCCTAACATTTGTATCTATGGTCTGAGGGAGAAAGATGCATTGTGAAAGCTCTGGTTTTACCAAAGTCTCCAAACTCACAAGGGGTGATAACCCAAGCTAGTGGGGATCAACAAAAGAATAAAATAATGTAGAAGGTGGGTTTCAGGAATCTGCACTTCACCACAGACAAGTCCAAAATAAACCACCACTACCCACTACTATCCACCACTATCAATAATCCATTAAGACAGATAATAAAGAAAAAATTCACAATAGCAATATAAAAGATATAATATCTAAGAATAAATCCAAAGTGCAAAATCTTTCTAAAGCTGTACTGAAAAGCTAGGGAAAAGAAAAAAAACAGAGAGATACTCCATATTCCTGATTAGAATGAATGAAGTCTGTAAACATGCCAATAATCCTCAAATTAATCCATATAATCCCAAGAGAATCCCAATCAGCTCCTTATGGAACCTCACAAACTCAATCTCTATTCAAATAAAATAGAAAATATACAGAAATAAACAGGAAAATTATCAGAGGTAGAAGATGAAAAGAAGATATGCAGACTTCCGCCAAGATGGAGGTATAGGTGGATGTGCCGTGCCTTCTCACACAACCAAGTTTAGGGACAACTAAATATTGGCAACAGAAATCACAGCCAGAACACGGAAAATTGAACTTTTCGGAAGTCCGTTAACAACAAATTCTTCAGCCTGACCAGGGGCTGCTGGAGCGGGGTTGCACAGGAGGACTTGGTCAGACGGGCTCAGGCGCGGAATCCAGGCGCAGGGTTGGACCTAGTGAGCGACCGAGCGAGTGGACCGAGCGAGTGACCTCGGAGGAGACAGCGGGGAAGCGGTGCTGCGTGTTGACTGTGGTCACCTATTTGTGCGCGAGCGGACAGGCGAGGGAGTGGGTGGTTCGACCGGGCCGGCGTCCCCGCAGCAAGCGGCAGTAGAGGGCGCCGCCATTTCCCCGCTCTGACCACGCCCCCACATACAGCGTCACAACCCAGCGACCTGGGAGTCCAAGGCACCACTTCTCACACTTAAAGGGCCAGAACAGACCAAAAATGTCGCAAGTTCTCAAAATCCCTGAGCCCATAGACCTAAGCGATGAAGAAATAGCAAAACTCTCAGACGCACAGTTTAAAACACTGGTGATCAGGATCCTCACAGAACTGGTTGATTATAGCCACAAATTAGAGAAACATATGAAGGCGAAACTAATTGAAATGAATGGAATTGCACAGGAAACCAATAGCGATGAAAAGGAAACTGGGACTCAAATCAATGGAGTGGACCAGAAGAAAGCAAATAATGGCCAAACAGAAAAGAGTCAGGAAGCAAGAATTAAAAGAAATGAGGAGAGTCTTAGGAAAAAAAGTCCAGGACATCTTTAAACGCTCCAATATCCGAATTATAGGGGTACCAGAAAGGGGAAAGGCACAGCCACCAGTGGAAAACTTATTTGAACAAATAATAAAGGAGAATTTCCCTAATCTGGCAAACACAATAGACTTCCAGGAAATCCAGGAAGCTCAGAGAGTACCAAAGAAGTTGGACCCAAGAAGGAACACACCAAGGCACATCATCATTACATTAGCCAAAATTAAAATGAAGGAGAGAATCCTAGAAGCAGCAAGAGCTAAGGGGACAGTCACCTACAAAGGAGTCCCCATCAGACTGTCAGCAGATTTCTCAAAAGAGACCTTACAGGTAAGAAGGGGCTGGAAAGAGGTATTCCAAGTCATGAAATCCAAAGACCTACAACCAAGATTGCTCTATCCAGCAAAACTTTCATTTAGAATGGAAGGACAGATAAGGTGCTTCTCAGATAAGATCAAATTCAAGGAGTTCATCATCACCAAGCCCTTATTATATGAAATGTTAAAGGGACTTATCTAAGAAAAAGAAGTTAAAGAAACATGAACAGTGAAAGGACAACAAACTCACAGTTATTAACAACCACAGCTAAAATGAAAGCAAACTAAAAGGACAGCTAGATCAGGAGTGGAAACATAGAAATGAAGATCTCAAGGAGGGTTAGCAACAGGGGAGTGGGAGGAGGAGATGGGGGGAGAAGGTACAGAAAATAAGTAGCATAGACAGTAGATAGAAAATAGATGGGGGGGCAAGAATAGCATGGGAAATATAGAATCTAAAGGACTTGAGACACATGGTCATAAACTAAAGGGGGGGTAATGGTGGGGATGGGGGGCAGGGTGGAGGGGAATGAAGGGGGGAATAGAACAACTGTAACAGCATAATCAATTAAAAAAAAAAAGAAGATATGCAAGTACCCAAGAAGCACATGAAAAGACATTCAACATCACTAAACATAAGAGAAATGAAAATTAAAACCACAGTGAAATACCCCTCCATACTCATTAGCATTGCTAATATCAAAAAAGCAGAAAATAATAAGTGTTGGCAAGGATGGACAGAAATTAAACCCCTTATGCTCTGTTGGTGAGAATATAAATGGTGTGGCCACTGTGAAAAACAGTATGCCGGTTCCTCAAAAAAATGGAAAACAGAATACCCATCTGACCCAGCAATTCAACCTCTAGGTATATACCCAAAAGAGGTGACAACAGGATTCGAAAGGATATTTGTATATACTTCCTGGGAACTGCAGTTTTAATGCCAATGTTCGCAGCAGCATTATTCATAATAGCCGAAGGTGGAAAAGACTCAAATACCCACTGACAAGTAAATGAATGAACAAAATGTGTTATCTACACATACCAGAATATTACTGCCTTAAAAAGGACTTAAATTCTGAAAAATGCTACAACATGAATGAGCCTTGCAGACTTCATGCTAAGTAAAATAAGCCAGTCACAAAAGGACAAATATTGTATGACTCCACTTATATGAGGTACCTAGAACACACACATTAATAGAGACAGAAAGTAGACCAGAGGTTACCAGGAGCTAGGGAGAGGGGAAAATGAGGAGTGTTTATTTAATGGATACAGAATTTCAGTTTTGGAAAATAAAAGTTCCAGAGATGGGTGATGGTGATGGTTGCACAACACTGTGAATGTCCTTAATTCCACCTGTACACTTAAAAATGATTAAAACAACAAATTTTGTTATATATATTTTACCAGAAAAAAACACTTAAAAAAAATCTTGTATTGAGAGACTTCTGGTCAAGACAGAGGCGTAGGTAGACACACTGTGCCTCCTCACACAACCAAAAGAGAACAACAACAATTTAAAAACAAAAAACAACCAGAATGGAAGTCCAACAACCAAGACTGGTAGGAGGGGCGGTGACAGGCAGCAGGGCAAAGAGGCCTCAGGGCCTCAGCTGGAGGACAGGGGCAGGAAGGTGGGGGATTGCAGACTAGGTGGTCCTACATTCGAATGCAAACAAATTGGGAGAAACAAATGGGGATCCAGGCGCACTGTGCAACCCAAGGTTCCGGCATGAGAAAATAAAGCCCCAAACCTCTGATTGAAAGCACTTTCAGGGGCAGAGGCAGCAGGAGAAACTCCCAGCCTCACAGGAGACTTTGTTGGAGAGACTCACAGGATCCTGGAACATACACTAACCCACCAACCCAGAAATCAACACCAGAAGGGCAATCTAATTCTGGGTAGCTGGGGAAATGACAAACTGGCAGAGAGTGGAGGAAACAGCACTGTTCCTTCTCAGATCCCCCATATACAGAGCCAAAATGCAGCAAAGTGGGTTGCTCAGCCCTGGTGGACACCTAAGGCTCCGCCCCTTACTGTATAATAGGCAGGCTGAGGCCAAAAAAAAAAAAGAAAGAAAGAAAGAAAAAACAGGTCAAAGCTCCAGAAAAAATACAACTAAGCAACCAAGAGATAGCCAACCTATCAGATGAACAGTTCAAAACACTGGTAACCAGGATGCTCACAGAATTGGTTGAATATGGTCACAAATTAGGTGAAAAAAATGAAGGCTATGCTAAGTGAAATAAAGGAAAATTTACAGGAAACCAACAGTGATGAGAAGGAAACTGGGAGTCAAATCAACCGTGCGGACCAGAAGGAAGAAAGAAACATTCAACCTTCATTCAAAATAGAATGAAGAAATAAGAATTTTTTTAAAATGAGGTGAGGCTTAGGAACCTCCAGGACATCTTTAAATGTTCCAACATTCAAATTATAGGGGTACCAGAAGGAGAACAGAAAGAGCAAGAAACTGAAAACTTATTTGAACAAAAAATAAAGGAGAATTTTCCCAATCTGGCAAAAAAAAAAAAGACTTCCAGGAAGTCCAGGAAGCTCAGAGAGTCCCAAAGAAGTTGGACCCAAGGAGGAACACACCAAGGCACATCATAATTACAGTACCCAAGGTTAAAATGATGGAGAAAATCTTAAAAGCAGCAAGAGAAAAGGAGACAATTTCCTACAAAGGAGTGCTCATAAGACTACCAACTGATTTCTCAAAAGAAACTTTACAGGCAAGAAGGGGCTATAAAGAAGTATTCCAAGTGATGAAAGGCAAGGACCTACATCCAAGATTGCTGTATCCAGCAAAGCTTTCATTTAGAATGAAAGGGCAGGTCAAGTGCTTCCCAGTTAAAGAAGTTCATCATCAGCAAGCCTTTATTATACGAAATGTTAAAGGGACTTATCTAAGAAAAAGAGGATAA